GGGGCAGCATTGCCAAGCTGGAGACCAGGCTCCTCACTCAGCCTGGCAGAGCTCTGGTGTCAAGGCAAGGGTTGATGGCGGGGCTGACCCTCAGGCTGGCCAACTCTGGCTGAGGAGACAGAAGAGCTGGATTCCAGCCCCAATACTACTTCTGACCTAGGACTGGCTGAGGCTGGGCTCTCCCTACTCCTCAGGAGACAAGCACTCACCTCCTGTGGGGTCTGCCTTGATGGGCTCAAAGGAGGTAGAAGGGTTGGGTCCAGATGAGCTGCTATTGCTGCTGCTGCTGCTGCTGCTACTGTCCAGCAGGGCAGAGGACTGTAGCGGCCGGGTGTCCAGTGCTGCCAGGCCCAGTGGGAGGGAGCTGAGCTCACCATTGTCCTTGCTGTCAGTTCCAGGGCCGCCACTCACTACAACCAGATCCCCAGAACCCAGTCACTTGGGAGCAGGAAGTAAGATATTGAAGCTTTGTGCTAGACCCCAGTCAGGATGACGATGGCCCAAGGAGAGACAGACACTGTCAGTCACCCTGAGGAGATAACCTAGAAGTGAGCCACTAAAAGAGACAGGAGCTTGAGACCTCCAGGAGGAAGACTCACAGAAGACATGGCTGCTGTGACTACACTTTAAGAGGGGTGACCAGGGAAAATGGTGGATCTGGGGGAAAACTGTCACCACTAATACCCTTTCACACAGTCAGAGCTTCCCTATAAAAAGGACTCATAACCATAGCAAAGGGAGGTCAACCAGAGGCTAGGAAAAGGACAACCCCCACGAGGTCTTTTCCAATACTGAGTACACGTTTCGCAACACAGAGGTGTTGCCTTTTGGGCCCCAGAAATTACCCCATCACCAGCTGCCTGTTATACCTCACCTGTGATCTCAGTTGCTGGACCGGGCACCCCCTGGGCTTCGATAATGCCAGGGACAGGGGTGGGAGTGGTCACCTGGGGACTGCTTGGGCGTGAGGTGTCCTGGGGCTGGGCCAGGGTAGGCTTGGGCAGAGGCAGAGGGGTAGGGACAGCAGGTGGGCTCTGGAGCAGATCTTCGGGAGGCGGCACAGGCACTGCCACAGGCGGTGAGCTCCATGCCTCCTTGTTCACCAGCAGCACCTCAATAGGGCCACTCATACTCTTCAGGTGAATTTGGTACTTCTTCTGCCCATTGAGGCCCTGGAGGCGGGGTATGGAGGACAGGTAGAATTAAAAGCAGGTTTGGCTCCTGCCTGACCCTAGCTAGGGCGACAGTGTCCTCTTCCACCCTAGGCTGCCCGTCCTTTTAGATAACCCTAAGATCCAGGCGTCCCCCTACTTGCCCCACCCGGGACTTATCGGCCTTCACAGCCAGCACCCGCCCTCAATCAACCCAGCCTGCCTGGGCTCAGCACCCACCTCTGGGATGGGCACTTCGAGGCTGGTGCCCGATGGAGCCCGGATGGCCAGCAGAGTATCTCCTAGAATGACAAGGAGAATGGGTCAGTGCCCAAGGGCTCAATCTAATCTGAGAATGGGGGTGGCTATCCCTTGGAGCAAGAAAGGAAATCATGGTCTCTTAGGGAGACCACAATAGCTGCGGCAGAGAACTAAAGCTTTTCTCCTCCCAAGAGCCCAAGGGTCAATAATCATAAAATCTGGGTTCAAACATGTGTTTCAAAGGATTGCTGGCCTGGGCATCTCACTCCCTGATTGATGGGACTGCTCCCTAGAAGTTCTGGCCAAGGCCAATATTCCTTCCCCAAACCAGTCTAGGGGATGCAAAATGGAAAAGGAACTGTTCCTTTATCCATGATGCAACTAACTACAGGCTGAAAGTGAGCACCACCATCCCTGGATACAAGAATTTAAGAGCATACACACGTGCTCTCTCCCCCTTATGCTTCTGTCATGACTGAGAAGCCAAACCCAGGGAAAAGTGCAGATGGGGGCTGACCCAGGGACTCAACCCAGAATTCTTGTACACTTTCTGTATAGTTGGCCTCCACGGGGCCTCAGTGACCCTCAAACCCAGGATTTACCCTGTCTGGTTCCTTTTTGGGCAGGCCCAAGGAACCATCTTAAGAGACAAAACTCGCCTTTGGCATTGAGCCCACTGCTCAGGGCTGTGGCTCAGCCCAGCCCCACCCCCATTTCCCCCTACCCAGGCTCTGCTCACCAGCGAAGCATCTGCAGATGTCCTCATGAGTCACGTAGGCCAAGGTGTGGGGGTTAAGGAGAACGGCTGATGCCCTGCCTAAGGTGATAGATGGCAGACCACAGAGAAAACCCAAGTCTTTAGCAGAGCTCTGACATACATGCTCTCAGAGAAAGCCCTGGGGTCTACATGGGGAAAGATCACAGGACAAGACTGGTTGGGGAGGGGGTTTCAGGAGGGAGGCTGAAGCAGGGACCTGGCAAGGAACTGCAGGATCATCCTCCCAAGGTGGATAGTGCCTAGGGCACCACAGAGCAAACCCCGCTGGACTAAAGGGCCCCTCACCCACTCCCCGGGGACAGGGACCACCAGGAGGATATCAGCTGTTCTGCACATCTTCTGTGACATTCCGGATGCTCTGCTGCACCCACACCTTGTGCTTGTCCAGTTCTTGCTCTCGCTGTTGCAGCTCTTCGATCTCAGCCTTGAGCTCAATCAGCTTGTCCGCAATCTCCCGGGTATTGCAGCCAGGACCCACACCCCTGAGCCCAGGGAGCAAGGCTGAGAGGAGCCACCAGGAACTCTGGGTCCCATGGCCCATGCTCTCTCCTGTATCCTTCTCCCCACACCCCTGACATTTCTGAGTAGGAGATGCCATTGCCCTCCCAGATGCCCCCACTCACTTCCACTGGATGCTATTCTTGGATTTTTTCTCGATCAGCCCGATACCTTCCAGCACATTGGTGATGTCGTAAATCCGTCGCTTCTGGCGCACAGCAAGGGTGTCAGCTGCCTGGCAGACAGAACGGAGCGAAGGATACTTAGCCCTGCTCTCAGGTGTACCCCCAGCTATTTTGAGACTTGGTCTAGAAGGGATCTGAAAAAGGGGTGGCTTGAGTCCCAACCCTATTTCCCGGCACTACAACGGCTCAGGACCAAGGGGCAGGAAGAGGCCTGGTGCAGCCCGAAATGATGTTCGGGGGCTCTTCTCCCACCAACCGAGGAGGACCACGAGGACCAGCACTTGCAGCCCTGAGCCCGGCACATAGCTGACACCCAATGGCCTCGACTGAATGAATGAAACAACGCCCAGCCTCCCTCCTGTGAGAAAGCACACGGATGGAGGCCTGTTCTCTGAGAGCTCAGCTGCGCCACCTCAGGGATCCTTACTACCGGTCCAGGCCTGCCTGGTCCACTACCCTCCCTGCCGCCCCTTAGCCCAGGCCGCACCAGCTTGAGGTCAAGCACACCGTCCTTGGCCTCCTGAAGAAGCGACACGAACTTGGTGGTGAGAAGTCCCAAGCTCTTCTCGTGCCGGCTTGGGGTGCCCGGGGGCGGCGGCGCCTGCGGCCCGGCCTCCGCCATCGCGCCCGCCCGCCGCCTCCCTTCAGCCAGGCCAGGCCAGGCCGGCGCCGCCGCCACTTCCGCTTCCGTTCCTGGCCACCAGGCCGCCGGCGCCAGCGTCGCTGTTTCCGCTTCCGCTCCGCGCTCTCCCAGGGAATCTGGCGCAATTCCTCTCAGTGGACACGGCAGCAAAACTTCGGGGACCATCAACAAATGTCCAACCGCCGAAGAGTACGAAAACAACCCGGGGATCCCGAAGGAGAGGATAGGTGGCAGAGGGAGGTGGAAAAAGTCGATGGGCAGCCCTGGCAGTAGAGAATGGAGAGCCACCAGAACGTCCCGGTGGCTACCCTGTCCCCATTTCAGGAGAGGAGACCACGCTGCCCTATGAACCCAGTGTGTTTCCCCAAACTTGCTCCTAGAAGCTGCACTACTGTGTGGGTTTATTCACCTTATTCCTGTCCCTCACTTCCTGCCAAACAGCAAGCACTAACTACATCTAGCTTGCCCACTTGTCTCCATTCTCACTCCCCTTCCCTGATCCCAGCCTCATCTTTCTCTGGTCCACACTGCAGTGCTCAGAGGCCATGAAATTACAACCATTTTTCTGCCAATGCAAACATGCTTACCTTTGCATACATATATAGGTAAGGCACTTAGAACAGCTCCTGGCAAGTAGAAAGGATTATGTGTTGGCCAACACCATTTTGTTATGTTTGATATCATTATTTATTTTCATTTATTTTAAGTCAAGATCTCTGAGAAGCTAACTGTGAGACAGGCCTGCAGGGAAGTTTAGAGTAAGACCTGCAGATTGGGCAGAGGGGGGAATTAAATTGTGATGCAGTTATATAGAGGCCTCAGGCCATCCTACTAGGAGCACTGAAACTGGGGTGGCTCTTCCAAGGTGGTCTATGTCCAGATAAGGGTACCAGGACTTTGTGTCCTAACATTTGAGAAAGAGACTCAACTATGACACCTCAGCAATCTACATTCCTGGCAGCTAGGGCAACAGGTGGCTTTGTCCTGAAGGGTGGCTTTGGGTGGTAATCAGCTTCCACAAATTATTACTACCCTGTGGTCCTCTCCATGGCCCCCTTTAACTTTCAAGACAAATACAACTTTCATAGCCCTTCTAGCTCTCTCTCACCACCACCCATCACAAACCTTCCTCACAACAGCCTGTAGCTTCTCAGTCCTCTGCAGAGGTGCAACCCTCCTCTGAGGGGCCATCGACACAGTTTTCCTACAGTGATGCTGTCCGCACCTGTATTTGCACACCCTCCTCTCCACCCCTGTTTGTGGCCCTCTAGTTCACGTCTGTGTCCTGAGCACTGAGAGGTCCTGTTTGGGCTGGTCAGGACTCAATGATTACAGGGAGTACACCCCCCTCCCCCCAAGGAAGTGGTACCCAGCCGTCCCCACCCCATCCCACAATGCAGATACTCTTTCCTGTTGGGAATAAAGGGCCAGACTCAGCTTCCTTCCTTTCAGGCATTTGGCCTTGGGGAGGGAGGGGGCTTGGAAGGAGGAGGGTGCTCCTGGGCCAGTAGTGGGACAGAGGCTTCCTTAGGGAGAAGAATTTTGCCGCTTGCCAAGGTGTGGGCTGGAACCACCAAGGCCTCTTGAGACAGTGAAGAGAATACCCAGCTCTGATCTGAGGACTGGGGGAGAGTGCCATCCTCAAGGCCAAGACTATTTTCAGAGGAGAAAGAACTGGATGCCTGGCCAACCGTGGTGAGTTCCATATCAAACTGTCCTCTGCAATTCAAAGCAGAAGCTGGGGCCAGCAGAGGCCTGTGCCTACCCTGCCTCGCTTGGCACCTGCAGGGGCAAAACTGAGAAACCGAGCAGGCAAAAGCTTCCTGCTTTTGGTGCCTCCCCATCACACCCACCTCCCTTTCATTTTCTGAGGGGGCTGGGCAAGAACCTCCCTCCTCCTTCTCAGAGGGGCCTAGACTGAGACTGGAGCTCAAAGGAGAATCCACTCTTCCTACCTCATCTCTAGTGCCACCAGGGAATGCCATGGACTCAGCAACCAAGGACGAAATGCAGCCCTCACTTCCCCCTGGTATGAGTCCTTCTGGGTGGGCTAAGGGAGGGACGGTGGCCGGAAAGATGGGAATGTCAGGGTTGGAGCCTCCTTGCCAGGTCTGCCTGGAGCTCCATAGGGCAGCAAGAGGAATAGATTGGACTGCCCTAGGGGACAAGCTGAGAAGTAGGAAGGGGAGCAGGTTTGGGCCACTTCCTGTAGGCCCTGCCCAGCTGATGAGGCTGCCCAGGCTCTTCCTGCCCAGGGCCTGAGTGGCCAGAGCAAGAGAAGGCGGAGCAGCTGGCCAGAGGAGCAGCACTCAAATGGGCCTCAGGCATCTTCTACCGGCCAGAGCAGCTGGCCAGGCTGGGCCAGTACCGCAGCCGTGAAGTTCAACGTACCTCTTCCCTGGAAGCACGCATTAAGGTGGGCATTGGTCAGGGGGCAGGAGAGCTGGGATGGGCTGCAGGACTGGCTAGGCCTCACTGGCTGTCTCCTCCCCACAGTCGGTGGTGCAGTCCTACCTGGAGGGCGTGAAGACTGGTGTGTGGCAGCTGGCCCAGGCGTTTGAGGCTGTGCAGGGAACCCGTGAGGCCCTGGGCCAGGCCCGCGGGTTGCTCCAAGGTATGGCAGAGGCCACGCAGACCCTACAACCACTGCGAGAACAGGTTGCACAGCACAAGCAACTGCAGGTCCTGTCTCAGCTGCTGCCCCGGCTGCGGGCAGGTGAGTGTGCAGGGGCCCCAGGCCTCTGCCCACCAATAGTTAGTCAATAAACACCCATCACTGATCAAGGGGCTGGGGCATTAGTGGGAGAAAGCATGGAGGGGCACAGCAGGGACCTCCTAGAGACTAACTCGGGCCTCAAATGGGATATGAAGCAGGATACAAATTAGCTTATTCTGGGATTCTCAAGTATAGGTTGTGTGAGTCAGAACTGAGACCCAGTCAAGTGGCCCTGGCCACCCTGGTTGCTAATTTTTTGCAATACTTCCTTAACAGAGTGAGTAAATAGCCATCAGCATGGCCTCCTGAGTTCCTCCCTGCCTTGCTTCCAGGATCCCTCACGTCCTCTTGTTCCATCAGCTCAGGGATTTACACCTGCCCTACCAGGCCTCTAGGCCCTTCCCTGGGTCCTTTCAGATTGGTCAGTGCTCTGCTGTACTGGTTATTAAACATTTTACACACCACTCCAGCCCTAGGGCCTCAGCAGCCACTGTTGTACCCATTGCACAGGTGGGAAGGTTGAGACTCAGGGCTGTTTCATCTTCTCCCCGCTTAGTGCCAGCTGCGGTGGCCCACACACAGACCCTGATTGGTGCCCAGCGGCTCTTGGAGGCATATGTGTGTCTTCGGGAGCTGGAGCAGCTGCAAGAGGAGACGTGGGCACCTCTGGGGGGCCTGGAGTTGCCGGTCTTCGAGGGGCTGGGCCCTCTAGCTGAGGCTCTGGGCCAGGCTGTGGAGGCGGCTGCGGGGGTAGCAGGGCAGCTGGCCCGGGAGGACCCAGCCTTGCTGGTGGCTGCTGTGCGTGTGGCAGAGGTGGATGCTGGGCACACAACCTCCCTGGAGCTGCCCCCCCGGGACTGGCGGCGGCGCTGTCTGCAGGCACTGCAGGAGGGCCTGGAGAGGACCCACTTTGGGACACCTCTGCTGCTTGAACCAGGGGCCCTGGCAGGGTGGCTGGAGGCTCTGCGGGTGGCTCTACCAGCTGAATTGGCCATAGCTGAAGCACTAGTAGCACCCTGCTGCCCACCACACTACCAGGTGGTCCGGCTGTGGGCCCACACCCTGCACAGTGGACTGCGTCGCTGCCTGCAGCAACTGCTGGAAGGGCCTGCCCTAGGAGCTGCTGATGCCTTCACCTTACTGCGCTGGACACTGCATGTGTACCTGGGGTCAGTACCCCTGGGGCAATGGGAAGTGGGCGGATCAGAGGCTGGGGGCTCAGAGTGACACTGGGCTACCCACCTCCAGGCCAGAAATGATGGGGAGCCTGGAGTTGGGGCCTGAGGCTGACGTGTCTCAGCTGGAGCCCCTCCTGACCCCAGAGAACATTGAACAGCTGGAGGCAACATTCGTGACCCAAATCCAGGTGAGTAGTTGGGGCCCAGGTACAGAGAAGCTCTGGCACCAGCTGGGGACCTGTATCTGTAGAGTTGCATGTCTACTTGTCTCTAGCAGCATCAGTGCCTTGCTACAGCAGTATCCTGCTGCCCTTTGCCCCTTCCCCCAGGTTAATGTGGCCCAGTGGCTGCAGAAGGCACTGGATGGGGAGGTAGCTGAGTGGAACCGAGAGCAGGAACCTGGCACAGACTCCTCTGGCTTCTACCACTCACCTATGCCAGCCATAGTGCTGCAGGTGGGTAGGAAGAGACGAGGCAGGTGGGAAGCCCCCATAGGGAAAGGGGAGAATAGCAGGACTAGGACTGATGCTGATGGCCACCCATTTCTGCCTTTAGATCCTGGAAGAGAACATTCGGGTGACCAGCATGGTCAGTGAGTCACTGCAGCGGCGGGTGCACATCATGGCACTATCAGAACTGGGCACATTCCTGAGGAGGTCTGCCAAGGCTTTGACCGGCTCGCAACCCCTAGCTCTGCTCCTGGGGCAGCCTAAAGGGGCTCTGAATGAATAAGTCACACCAGTGGGAAAGGGCTTCTTCAAAACAGGGTTTTGGGTCTCTTGGAGGTGGGGCTGGAGTACCAGGGACTCAGGTTGTGGGGGCACCAGAGTGATAGGTACAGGAACTATCTTTGCCTTTTGCAGCTTTAGTGATGCTCTGATCCGATTCTCCCGAGACCACATCAGGGGTGAAGTAATGGCTCCTCATTATGTGCCCTACCTACTGGCCACCCTCAACTACCAGTCAGCACTCAGGTACTAGGAGGCCCCCACAGAACTCCTGATTGAACTCCAATTAGGTATGGACCCAGTCCACACTAAACCATTAGAAATTTTGGACTCACTTAGCCCTGGAAATCCAGTCCTAGTTCTACTAATTGCTGTGTGACCTTGCATGAGTTACCTAATCTCTCTGAATTTTGTTCTCATCAGTATCATGTGGGTAATAATGGTACGTTCTGAGAATCACATAAGATCAACAGATGTGAAGTACCTACCACAGTGCCTGCCTGGCACATAGTATCATATCAAGGCCCTACTCTGTGCCACATAATAATGGCTGAGTTTGCAGCTGTGAACAAAATAAACAAACAAAAATTCCCTTTCTCCTAGGTCTTATGTCCTTTGAGGTGGGGGCAGAGAGGACAAACAAGTTAATGATGATTTTTATTCACTCCTAAGGCTCCCCTTACCCAAACAGAAACCAAAAGACATCATTTGCTCAAAGTTACACTGAGAACCCAGTTCTGGCTGGGTTTCTTCTAGCTCTCTGAGCCTACCACTCCCAGCTTCAGTCCAAGGCCCAGATCTTCGGTAGTGCCCCTCCCTCCACAAACTTGCGCCAGTAGGTGGCGTCGGAGTGGCTAGACAATGGAGGGCCTTGAGGGCCTTGGCCTTGGTCCTGAAGCCATAACCTTTGGTCGGTCCAGCTCCTCCGTGTCCGTCCTGCAACCCGGTGGGGCGGCTTCAGGAGCCTTGGCCCCGGTGGAGGCAGCGCTGGACGAGTTGCAGAGGAGGATCTGCCGCCTGGTGTTGGAGGCGCTGCTGGCGGAGCTCCAGGTAAGACTTCAGGTCGGGATGAGGGTGGGAGGAGGAGATACAGCATATATGTGCAAGTATTCCTCTGCTGGGGAAATGCTAGGTCCGTACGTTCCTCCAGCCCCGTCTCTGCCTCACCCGACCCCACCCAGCCCCTGTTCGAAGCTCTGCCCTCGCGTCGGTGGTTGTCGAGCCCAGAGCTGCTGGACAATGTATGCGAGCGGACGGCAAGCTTCTGCCAGGATTTCAGGCGAGTACGGAATCCTGCGATCCAGGTGCGCTTAAGGGAAAGGCTGGGAAGTGGGGAAGCGCCCATCGGAAAGGCGTCTTGGACCCATTGCGTTCTCTGCAGCTGCTTCTGGCTGAGGCGGAGCGTACGGTGGTACTGCAGTACCTACGTGCGTTGATGCAGGGCCGCCTAGTGTGCCGAGGAGCCGAGGAGAGGACCCAGGCGGCCGAGCGTCTGCAGCACGATGCAGCCCAGCTTCGGGAACTTTTCCTTGGTTTGGTGAGAGCTCCTTAGGCGAGCAGATGGGCGGGAGTCTCAGTGGGTGGGTTGGAGTCGAAGGCGGGCTCGAGACCTACTCCTGGGTGCTCAGGGCCTGGAGGAGAGTTATCAGTGCGCGCCAGTGCTCCTCGCTCTCCGGGATCTGCTGAACCTCCGTGACCCTATGCTGCTCGGCCTCGAGGTGGCAGGCCTGCGACAAAAATTTCCCGACGTGAGGTGCGAAGACTGGTGCTGGTGGGGGGACAGGGAGGAGGAGCGGGGCAGAGCTGACACGCACCTCTTTGGTGTCCCGGTAGCGAGGATCACGTCTCAGCCCTCTTGGACCTGCGCGGGGATGTGTCCCGAGAGCAGCGCCTGGCCGCACTCAGCTCCCTGCAGGCCGGCCCGCAGCCCTCGCCCTCTGCGGGTCGTCGAGCACTCTTCAGCCTCGTGCCAGTACCTACCCCTGCACTGTCCTCCTGCCTTCCCTCCGGGCCCTGTGCCTGACGCCAGGCTACCCTCGGAATACAGCCACTGCCCCGTCGCCTGAATTGTGTATTGGGGAAGGGGGATGAAATAAAAGTGTGAAGATTAGGGGGTCCACGTTCAGTGAAACGCCTAAGGTATTCTGGCTCCAGTCCTGATATGGGCTTCACCTCAGCTGTCCCGGCATCAGCCCTGTATGGACTGCATTCCCAAGTACGGGAGCTTCTGCCTCTGTACGCGGACTGCACACCCACTTACCCGCGCCTGCGCAGTGAGCTCCTGTCTCCCGGCCCTGGCTCGGAAGGCAGTGTAGCACTTGAAGTCCTGAACTCTGCCTAGGCCCTCGTGGACGGGGCGGGTTTAAGACAACGCCGCGCCCAGGGGCGTGACCTGGTGGCGGACACCGCCCCCTCTGCTTTGCCGGGTCCCACCCCAAGCGGTGTTCTCCCGTGCCCGCCGCCGCCCGCCGAGATTGACGCGAATACGCGCGCCTTCGTGTGAGCGTGCGCGCGCCCAAGTGCGTGCGTCGCCAGCGTCGGCTCCCGCGGGCTGGGCGGCTGGCGATTGGTGTTACGGAGCCGGAACGGCGGTGGCGAGAAAAGGAGCGAACAGGTGGGGGCGCGGTACGCGGACGGAACCCCCCACCCCCGAGAGGCCGCGAAGCCATGCGACTCGACCCCTACTCATCTGACCGGGAACCCCCACTCCATTGTCCTCTGGCTCCGCCCTCGATTGGCCACGCCCTTTGCCCCATCTTCCGCCACTTATTGGCTGCGGGTCACGCCCCTCCTCCATCTCTCCGTCCCTATTGGCTCCTCTTCCACGTTACTCTTTCCCGGCGGTTTTTTATTGGTGCAGGCCACACCCTCTCATTTGTCACTGGACTCCGCCTTCTGTCTGGGCCCCTCCCCAGCCATCTTTCATTCATTCTGCATGTAGTGCTAGGTGCTTGGGACATGGGGGTCAATAAGACCCATCTCTGCCCTCAGGGAGCTAAGGGGGAGGTGGGGGGACACAGACGTAGGCTCCGACGGTGACAGCTTAGGGTGGTAAAGAAGCCGTCTAGACACTGGGAGCCTCCAAGACGTCAGGAAGGCTTCCCGGAGGAGGTGAGGCCTAAACCGAACCCTGAGGAATGGTTAGGAGTTTGCTACAAAGAGACATTGGGAGGGCATTCTTGGCAGAACTGAGACATGAAAGAAGCAGGCATCTTCTTGGTAATTGCGAAGAGCTAGGTCGAATGAAAGAAGGTATGGGGGAGATGAAAGGAACTGATCCAGGTAGAGGCCTAGAGACCAGTGAGGAGTCCAGAAAAGTGTACAATTAGTTGAGAAGAGTGAAGCCTGAGGCCTGAAATTTTTTCAAACATCTGGTCACTAAGCAGAATGGAGGGAGGTAGGGCTGGGGGATCAGATCTCTATAAGGAAACGAAGTATGTGGAAGGAATTATTCCAGTTCCACAAAGGAGAAGAGCTCTTGGGTTCCTCTCGTTTATTGAGTAACTGCTCTGGGTCAGATACTATTCTGGGTTCTGAGGACACAGCCGTGAACATTCGAAAGGAGAAGGGAAATAACTAATAATGACATGTACTATACTTCAGATGGTGACAACTGCTTCAGAAAATAATATGGGAAAGTGAAGATTGTGGTGGAGAAGGAAGAAGAGGTTTACTATTTTACAGACAGAGTTAGGGAGACTTGCCTAACAACATATTTGTGCAGAGATCTGAAGAACGTAGGAGAATGTGCCCTGTAGTTATATGAGGGGGAAGCATTCTAGACAGGGGACATGTTCAGTTTGAGATGCCTGTTGTACATTCAAGTAAAGATTTTGACTTGAGAACTGGCAACGTCAGTATGAAGTTTATAGAAGTTTAGGCTGATGTTTTTGAAACCATGAAAGTGGATGAGATCACCCTTGAGAGTAAGCATAAATGGAGAAGAGAGAAGTTTTCATAGAAGTTTCCAAGCCCTGAGGCATTACAACATTAAGAGATCAGGAAGATAGGAATAACAGCAAGGAAGACGAAGAACAAACAGCCAGTGAGGTAGGAGAATATGTTTCAGTGTATTTGGGAAGCCAAGTAGAGAACATGTTTCCAAGATGAAATGATTAATTATGTCAAGTGCGCTGATCAATATGTGACCATTGATGACCTTGGTCAGATCAGTTTCAATGGAGGGTGGGGAGTGAAACGTAAGAGAAAACAGGAAAGGAGTCAGAGACTGCATGCAGATGACTTGGGGTGTTGTGCTGCAATAAGGAGCAGCTGGAGGGAGATGCATTAGGGCTGGGAGAGTGTGGGGTCAAGTGAGGGTTTGCTTTTGATTTTTTTTTTTTTTTACAAATAGTTTATTGTCAAATTAGTTTCCACATAACACTCAGTGCTCATCCCCACAAGTGTCCTCCTCCATGCCCATCTCTCCCTCCCCCCACATCCATCAGTCCTCAGTTTTTGTCAGCATTCAAGAGTCTCTCATGGTTTGCCTCTCTCCCTTTCCCCCACCATTTCCGCCCTTCTTCTCCCCCTTGTTCCTCCGTCAAGTTCCTCCTAATCCTCCTATACGTGCAAACATATGATATTTGTCCTTCTCTGCCTGACTTATTTCACTCAGCATAACACCCTCAAGGTCCATCCATGTTGCTACACATGGCCAGATTTCATTGTTTCTCATTGCCGTGTAGTATTCCATGGTATAGATAAACCACATCTTCTTGATCCATTCATCTGTTGATGGACACTTAGGCTCTTTCCATGTTTTAGCTATTGTGGAGAGTGCTGCTATGAACATTGGGGTCCATGTGCTCCTATGCCTCAGCATTTCTGTATCCCTTGGGTAAATTCCTAGCAGTGCTATTGCTGGGTCATAGGGGAGTTCTATTGTTAGTTTCCTGAGGAACCTCCACACTGTTTTCCAGAGGGGCTGTACCAGTTTACATTCCCACCAACAGTGTAGGAGGGTGCCCGTTTCTCCACATCCTCGCCAGCATCTAGAGTTCTCTGATTTGCTCATTTTAGCCACGCTGACTGGTGTGAGGTGGTATCTCAGTGTGGTTTTGATTTGTATTTCCCTGATGAGGAGGGATGCTGAGCATCGTTGCTTTTGATTTTTAAAGACAGAAATAACAGCATGTGTTTATGCTGATGGAAAGAATCCAGTAGGGGGGAAGAGATTGACGATGTCCGAGAAATGCTGGAATTCTGTTCCTGAACAGGCGAGGGAGTTCAGTCACACTTTCAGGGAGAGACTGGATTGTTCTGAGCCCTAGTACAGAGTCAGAAGTCCCAGCACTGGCCTTGGATGACCACTAGAAAGAGGCCTCTAAGAGGAGACAGACTGGGTACTGGCTTGAGTTTGCTAAAGTCTCCCTCTGCTCCCCAAAAGCTAATTCTAATTTGGATTTGAACAGATAACCCAGAGGAAAGAGAGCATTCCAGGTGGAGAGACTAATATAAGCAAGGAGCAGGCAGGCATCCAAACTGTGACTGAGGCCAGCTGGGCTGGAGGAAGTGGTGGAGCCAGGTGGGAGGGGAGGGATGAGACTGAGAAAAGGCCATAGATGGAAGGCAGGTAGAAGGTGGTGAGAGCCCCTCATCCATCATCCCAGCAGCTGAGGCTATATTGTCCTAGCTCCCAGCTTGGGTGGGTGTTGAGTGCAGGAGTTAAAACCACGAGTAGGGGCTCAGGCCTTGTTCTCAGCAGCTCATAGGCTAAGGGGGTTCCAGTGACCACCATCTAGGTGGGTGTATAAATTCTGCCTCCTGCCTTCCCCCAGTCCAGCTTCCTTAGGTGAGCCTGCTGGAAGGCATGGACACTGGGATGGGGGTGAGGGAGGGGGTAGCCACCCAGACTCCTGGTGGCAAGACCCTGAGCCCACTAAGCACTCAGCATGGGCAGTATGCAGCACAGGTCTGCTGATTCTCAGGCCACAACCACTCATACTGGCCTCCATATGCCCTTCTTTGTCCCCAGAAGTCGACAGTGTGGGGAGTTGGAGTGACTCGGCTGGATGTGACCCCCAGGACAGAATGGTGCTGGACTCAGGGGCTCAGGTGTATGAGCAGGCACCCCCAAGCCCACCAGCCAGTCCCTCATCCTTGGGCCATAGGCTGAAGCCCTCAGTCCGAGATGGGACACTGCTGTACCCCTGGCCTCGGTCCCTGGCCTTGCCCTTGGCCTTGCCCCTGGCTCTGTCAGTCCCCTCAGCCCTGCGGCCCCATCCTGAGCTGCAGCGCTTCTCAGAGCTGCACTTGGGCCACCGTGGCCACATGCGTCGCAGTGAGAGCACCTATACTGTAAATACTACTGGCCGGCGGGGGAGTGGCACCCAGGGTCGGGCCCCACCTGCACCACGGGGCCGGGACCCAGGTGGGGGCACCCTGAGGTCTGCAGCCTCCCTTCCTCATATTGCTAAGAGTCGAAAGGATGCAGGCCGTGGTGCCAGCAAGAGCCCTTGCATGTTGGTGGCCTTGCGGCCAACTAACATGGACCGTGAGCGGGACAAGTTCTTCCAGTCCCACTACACCTACAACCCACAGTTCGAATACCAGGAGCCTATGCCCACGGCTGTGCTGGAGAAGTACTGTGAGGCTTCTGGACAGTTCATCCATCAGGTCAGTCTAGCCTGCCCACCTCACTCTGCCCCTGACCACCCAAGAGGCCTGGTCTGACCAGCCATTGCAACCCTTTGTGCAGGCAGTTGGCATCATTGAAGCTGTCCTGGAGAAGTTTGGTACCTATGAACACTTTGAAGCTGCAACTGGAGGCCAGCTGCTGACCAAGTGCCAGATCTGGTCCATTGTGCGCAAATACATGCAGAAGGAGGGCTGTGTTGGGGAGGTGAGCTAGCCCTGTCTCCCAGGCCCCTTTGTGTCCCAAACCAGGCTGCTGAGTGGGCGAAACCAGGCCCAGCTCCACACCTGGCCAGCTAGTGACCCCAGCCAAGCCCCTCCCCCTGCCCCAGTAAAGTGAGAGCTGGCTCTGAGCAAAGGTGGTAAAGGCTGGGTGCCCTGGCCAGGTGTGTGGCCTCACTGTCCTTTGGCCTCAGCGTGCCCACCTGCATACTGGCCTCAGGGCTGGTAGCCATGGCTTAGGTCACTACCACCTGCAGGTTGTTGTGCAGCTGAGTGAGAACCTGCTGTCCCAGGCAGTGATGATGGTGGAGAACAGCCGACCAACGTTGGCCATCAACCTGACCGGAGCCCGCCAGTATTGGTTGGAGGGCATGCTGCGGCACGAGATAGGTCAGGGTGTGGGTAGGTGGGTGGGTGGGTAGGATGAGAGGGCGCTGGGATGGGGTAGGGGGCAGTGAGGGGCCCCAGTAACCCCACCCCCTCTCTTTCTTCCCCTTCCTTCCGGAGGACGGGCCCTTTCCCTTCGTGAGCAGCTACCTACTCCCTCTGGCTCACAGAGGTAGGCCAGAACATGCCTGCCCACTCTCTGGGCTCACCCTCATCTCTTGCTCCCTTTGGGTATCTTTTATCCCTCTGCTTTCTCTCTGATTTCCCTTGACAGTGGGGACAAGGTTGCTGAGGCCTGGACAGGCCAGAGGGAGTGCCCTGAGGGTCCCACTAGCCCAGCCAACACGGAGGCCCTCCAGGGTGGGTGGAAGGCCAGATCCTAGGAATGGAATTGGTTGAGGACACAAAGTCGGGTTTTAGGAGGAGATAGGCTGAGCTGAAATGGAGAGCATGGGACACTAATTACCATTCCTTTCTGTCTCTGTCTCCTCATCAAGAAATCTGTAGCTCTGGGCAAAAGGTGTTTTTCACTGGGGTCATCAGCATGACTTTCAACATGACATGGGCATGCAGGGTGTGGGGCCTGGAGTGGGGGGTGTTGGGAGTTCCTGCTCCTTTCTGGTGGGGGGTGGGGAGCATGGGGAGGCAGTGTGAGTTTGGGAGAGTTGTTTGTGTGTGTAGCCCTGGATGGGTGGGGAGGATTCTTGTGTGTGGGACTGAGTCTTTGGGTGCAAGTTCACCTGAGGAGGGTCTTCCCGCTGCCTGGGGTTGGGTGATTATGCATTTATCTGGGGCAGGGAATGGGGATAGGGAGAACTTGCTTGAGAGCCTGAGTTTAGGAGCTGGAGTATATGTGAGTCACCATCACTGGCTAGAGGTCTTGCAGGATGTAGCAGGACACAGGTTGGTCCCCTGGATGTCCCACCCAGTACTGCCTTCCCCTCGCCTTCCCTGCAGGCACTCACTACCTGCGGGGAGTGAACAACGCCCGGCAGCCATGGCACAGCGCTGAGGGCCGCCAGCAGTATGGTCTGCGGCCAGCGAACCCCACGGAGGAGGGTTTGGCCAGCCTGCACAGCGTGCTCTTCCGCAAGCAGCCCTTTCTGTGGCGTGCAGCTCTGCTCTACTACACCATCCACCGCGCCTCACGCATGTCCTTCCGCCAGCTCTTCCAGGACCTGGCGCGCTATGTACAGGATGCTGATGTGCGCTGGGAGTACTGCGTGCGCGCCAAGCGTGGGCAGACTGACACCTCGCTGCCCGGTGGGCGCCCGCGCCGCGTTGGGGGTTCCTGAAGGAGGCCCGGGGGTGCCGGGTGGGGGGCAGTGCCTTGAGCAGGGGCAAGGAGGGTGGGCTTCCGGCCCAGGGGCTTACAGCCCTCCCTTGCCCACAGGCTGCTTCAGCAAGGATCAGGTGTACCTGGATGGCATCGTGCGCATTCTGAGGCACCGCCAGACCATCGATTTCCCACTGCTGACTTCACTGGGCAAGGTGAGGGGCCACGGACCTCTAGAGAGTCCAGCCAGCTCTCCTTGTCACTGCATTGTTCCCTGGGCCTCTGTTGGGTCCTCGACTGAGGACTCGGTGCCAAGCTTCTCTGGTGGGGGGACCTGGGTGGAGGTGAACAAAAGAAGTGACAACCTGGCAGCCAAAAGTAGGTACTTGGCCTAAACTTCAGGTGTGTGTGTAGATGCTGCATCTCAAAGGAGGTGAGCATTCAGGCCAGGGGAGCAGTCAGGAAGGTCTGGGGAAGGGGACTGGAGAAGTCTCTGGCTCTGAGTTTCTGTGGCAGGCTGAGGAAGATGGACTTCCATCTGAAGCAATGGGGAATCAGTAGGGCTTTAAGCAGAGAAATGTCACTTTTACTTTAGAAGGCTCCGTGTGGATGTTAGATGGGAGGTGGATTGGAGAGAGAAGCCTAAGGAGTGTAGGGGGAGGAGGAAGCCGCCTATCCAATCACTCCTGAAGAATTGATGGTGGTCTGGCCTAACCTGACACTAGCCATGCAGAGGGAGGAACAAGCCAGGGAGAGCTCTTCAGAGAATGGAATCCCTCTAACTCAAAGACCACCCTGAGTTGGAGGGTGACGTATTCCAGGTCCCTTCCCTTGAGCTGACCGAGAGAACTTTGTGGAAGGTGGAACTGGCATAAGCTGGCACCCAGGAGTTCAGCATTGGGTGTGGGGTCTGAGGTGTCTGAGGCAGCTTGATACCTGGGTTTGTAGATGAGGGGAGAAGCTGGGCTGGAGACAAGAGTGGGGCTGTGGGGCACAGATGGTACAAAGTATTGGGAGAGAGACAAACATACCCAGCACTGAACCTCAGGGTATATAACCTTGGGAGTGGATCCAGAGGGGAGAGAGAGGCATTCCAGAAGCAGAGGGCAATGAGCCATTTGTAGAGAGCTAGGACCCGCTACCTGAAAGCCATGTCACTCTGGCTACCACTGAGGCTCAGCTTCTTTCCTGCAGGTATCCTATGAGGATGTAGACCACCTGCGGCCCCATGGGGTGCTGGACAATACCCGGGTGCCCCACTTCATGCAGGACTTGGCGCGCTACCGGCAGCAGCTGGAGCACATCATGGCCACCAACCGGCTGGATGAAGCTGAACTGGGCCGCCTGTTGCCTGACTGATGCTGGTTAAGGGCTATAGGCAGAGGCCCTGGACAGAAGGCTCCAGATCAGCCCCCCAAATATGAAGCTGGCTGCTCTTTGCTTCCATGGCCTAGGTGTTTCTTGGGGAACTGGGAGGGCAGGAGCATCCCAGGAGGTAGGAGTGGCATCAGAGGGTTTGTGCCCCTTGCTAGCCTCACTGGGGCCTAGGGACCAGCAGCAGCATGTCAGGCAAACTGAGTCTGCCCTCCTACCTCTAGCTCTCTCTTGAGCAGTAGGGAAGCCTGAGGGCAGGAGGGAAGCTGAGCATGATGGGGATGGGGGGTGGTTTGGGAGTAGAAACTTGTTCTTGCATGAGATGGCTTTGGGTGTCTGCATACTCCAGTCTCTCCCTTCCCCCACCTGGCCCCTTGGTGCTCCTTCAGCTTTCATGCTGTCTACCTCTCACTGGGTCCTGGTGGGGATCTCCCTTCTCCTGGGGTGACAGCCTCAGCCTGAGGGCCTGGCTTTCACACAGACTCAAAGGGCAGGGATCCTGGTGGTAGAGACCCAGCTGGGCTGGGGTGTGCTTTCCAGCATTTTGCCTCTCCCACTGGTCATGTATTTATTCCCTATTTATGTGCTCTGCACCCTGGGTCCTGGGAGGCAGCAGCTTCTGAAGGTTTGGTGGAGGGAACAGAGCTCCTCTGGAAGGCACCAACTGTTCCTAGCCCCACTCTCATCTCCCCTCCCCTCCCCCCCACCCAGGTCTTCAGGGCTTGTGAGTCAAGCCCAAGAGCTTACCTGGCCCTGCCCCTAAACCCGTCCGTTGGCCTGTGCTATTCCTGTCTTTGCCCATACCCTCACAGCTGGCCTCTGGCAGAGGGTGGCATTGCCTGGCAGCAGTCACACTCTGCCTGAGGGGCAAGCCCCTAGCTATCGTCCTAAGTCTGAGTCCCTCCTGGACCAGGAGAGGTGTAGAGGTGGTTGTTGCTTCCACTTTTACCTCAGACTCAACTGTGTGACATTGACCCATTCTCACTCCCACCCTTGCCCTGGGATTTCCCATCTGTAAAACTCAGAAATGCAGTTGGAAAGTCCTTATTCGTTTAGTCAGTGAATATGTGTAGATCACCTCTGTATGCCAGTTACTGGTCAGAGCCCTCACAGAGCTCCCAGTCCAGAGAGAAGCCAGACAATTAAAACAACAATTACAATGAAGTGTGTGGGCTCTGTCTACCCAAGATCCCTTCTTCTTCCTCTCTCCTAATCTCACTTCCCAGGGCTGTGATCTCTAGCCTGTCCTAGTAGAGAGAAATCTCCCTTCCCTGGCTCTCTGGAAGCCCACGGTTTCCCAGAAATGGAGAAATGGGACTGGTGACTACACAGCAACACCCCCCACCCACTGGTTCATGAGGGGAAAGGGGCTGTAGGGTAGGGCCCAGGGGTATGGCCCTTTCCCACGGGAGGCCTGGAACTGATGGCTCCGGGGGAGTGCAACTTGGGCTACTGAGGGTGAAATGGGGCTAAGGACTAGGCAGTGGGGCACAGGGCTGCCCAGGTTGCTGAGACTTAGGGGCATGGATCTGCACCCTAGTTCCTGGGCAAAAAGTCAGAGTCACAGAGAGGGGCCAAGGTAACCCTCCGGAGTTTATTCACTTCCAGTGGTACTGGGTCAGGTGGAGACTTGGTGGCATCCTCCCCAATGCCATAGCAGGATCCCAGGTCCTGTCTGCTTTGGGCAGGGAGCAGCCTGTCAGCACTCTGGCATTCAAGAATCTAGAGATGATGGGAAAAATACTAGTCAGTCACATTGCAGGGGGAGGGGAGGAGACCACCCTCCCGCCAATCCGACACCAGGTTTGGGTAGCCTCACACCTTCAGACTCATCACCCCCCTCGAAGTCGGGCTCTGGCTCTGGCTCTGGTTCAGGTTCTGGCTCCAGTTCAGGTGCTGACTCTGGTTCCGAATCCATTTGGGGTTCTCCCTCTGGCTCAGCCCCTTCTGAGACCTCTGCTTCTAGTTCTGGATCCAGTTCCTCGCGGGTTCCGGATTCCACTGCCTCAGAGCCCCCGGGAACCCCAACCTCGTCGCATTCTGAAGCTCTGGGCAGTTCAGGGCAATTGGTTCTCAAGTCAGGTGCCTCAGGTGTCCAGTGGCCCGGGCATGGAGGGTCGTAGCTGCGTTCCCGGTAGCCTGGAATGGAGGTGGGAATATCTGGGTATCTCATTTTAAGGCCTTGGCGGTATCCTTGGCACATGCCCATCTACAACTCTGCTCCCCACTCTATCCTTCACGCCAAGCCCCGTGCTCTGGCCCAAGACCTGCCCCTCGCGGGCTCACCAGTGCCCACGTGCTGCCAGTCCCAGGCCGGGTCTGGTGCACGCGTAGTACGCTGGGCGCAGTGCAGGAGCTCCTGGCAGGCGGCCTCTCCCTTGCTCTGCACCAGGAGCAGCAGGCGACGCACCCTTCGCTCGGCATCAGGCAGTGCATCCAACGCCTCATACTCGGGCCCAGTGAGCACGCCACGCGCCAGCAGTGCATCCAGCAGCAGCCCTGAGTCCTCCTGCAGCGTCTCCACTAGGCGTTTCCGCTCTCGGTCGATAGTTTCTGAGGGCCGCTCCTGCGCGTTGCCCATGGTGGGGGCTGCATGGAGGAGGGGAGAGAGGTAATAGGGGCCAGGATGCCCCCCGGCCTTGACCTCTCTTGCAGGGTCTCTGTGAACACTGGTGGCTGGGATTTAAGTTCACCTTGACCGGGGCAGCCGGACAGCTCCTCAGCACAGGACTTGTACCTCCCGCCTCTCAGGCCGCTTCTGTCCCGTCTCCTCCTCAGGCTTCTCCTTGGGTCCCTAAACATCAGCTGTGGCTCTCCTCTCCTCCTCTATGCTATCCCTGGGCCCTTATTTACTCTCTACTGCTCTCCCAGTCAGGATGTCCTTCCTGTGTCCCTGCTGCCTGTGGATCCTGCATTTGATTCAGACCCAGTTTATCCAAACTGAATTCTTTTTCCCAGCCTGTTTCCTCACCTTAACAAGAAGAAAGACCTGCAATTTATCTGGATACCCAACACCCAGTCTGCAGTCACATCCTTTCCAGTCTATCTGCTACCTATTTCTCTGTCATCCTAATCTCTTAGTCTAGCCTTTCATGTCCAGCTTAGACCCTGCTGAGTGCTGAATTCCCTCTGCACCCAGGGCACAAGTGCTGAGAGCCTTCCCTCACCTGAAGGAAGTCTATGCTCCTTATCCTGACCCTGAGGCCCATCTTTCCAGGGTAGGCGCCGCCCCTGCAGCCCCTCACCAATGCCGCCCCTATGTTGCAACCGGCCCTTCCTGGTTCCCTAATACCTGAGCAGGGATGCCTGAATGCTCTTGAGTCCTAGCTCTGACCAAGCAAGACTTCCTGACAGTACCTGAGACCCAACTGTCTCCCTGACTCCCTGGGAATCTTCCCTGGGAATGCTTCATCTTTAGGTACCACAGACCCAACTCATAAAAGCTACCAACAAATGCATGCTAAACTTTTACTGTCTTCCTCCACGGATCCTCCTATTTTGAGAGACTGTCTCTAGCAAGCAGCAGGCGTTAGGCAGAAGTTAATCTGCTGTGTCCATTTATTAACAACCAAGATAATGGTCCATCACTTCTAGAGTGGCCTGACCCAGGGCTGAACAGGTCAGGCCCTGAACCACCTCCTCTCTCAGCCCATCTACCCCAGCCCTGGCTTTGTTCACCCAGCACCCTCCCAGGTCTCATCCTCCTTTTGGGGTCACTCTGCTACCTCCCTACATGGCTCTAGGTCTGGGTGAGCCCTTTGGTCCTAGCTCGCATCCTGCCTCCCAGGTCTCTCTCACTACCACCTGGTGTCATGCTGTGCCCCCCTGGTCATTTCACCCTCCTGGCCATACTGAAGTGTCAGCCCTTCCCACAGGCCACTGACCAGAGACCAGAACTACCCCTCCCCCTTCCTTCATGTCACATCTCTGACAAATGCTGCTCCTCTACCTCTCAGTGGGTCTCTATCCAGCATCCCCCTTCAATCCCACCATGGTCACCTCATCTCCTATTACAGTCTTTCTTTTTTTTAAATCTTTTTAACGTCTTATTTTATTCTGAGAGACAGAGACAGAGAGGGAGTGGGAAAGGGGCAGAGAGAGAGGGAGACACAGAATCTGAAGCAGGCTCCAGGCTCTGAGCTGTCAGCACAGAGCCTGACATGGGGCTCGAACTGTGAGATCATGACCTGAGTCAAAGTCAGACGCTTAACCGACTGAGCCAACAAGGGGCCCCTATTACAGTCTTTCTAAGTACCTCTCACTCCCAATCCATCACTCCTTCTGCAGCGTGACTTTGACAAACTTCTGGGACAGGATTTATTGTCCCCATTTTACAGATGAGGAGACAGGTGCTGAGAGACCAAGTGGCAGAACTGGAATCTGATTTGCTCTAACTTGAACTACAACAATTTCTCCTGTGAAACAGAATGTCAGCCCTAGTGGCCTGTCTCCTTCTCCCCAATGTCCATCAGAGAGAATCAAGACCATATGACCTGGCCACTCTAGGTCACCTCCTACCCCTCTGGACATCTGGATTTTCTCCCACTTCCCTTCACCACACAGTGCTGGGAGAACCCTGCGAGCCCCTGGCACATCTGAACCAGATGCAGATGCTGTTCCCTAAGCCTGGAATACCCTTCCCTTCCCTCCATGCTGTGGACCCAACCTCCAAGACTCAAATGTCCCCTTCTCCACCCCAGTGCCTGAATGTCCCAAAGGCAGACTTGTTCCTTGCGTACCCCAGTGAACAACAATCATCCTCACCGCTGCTCTGACATCACTGCACTGTATAAACGGACCCTGTGCTCTCTTTGGCTGAGACCTCCAAAGACTGCCCCCAGTCACACATGCAGGACCTACTCTGTACAAGTGCAAAGAAGTTGGGGGGGGGGGTGGAGATTGAACTGGTCCCTCCTTTTCCCTCATTGCTCTCCAACTTATTTTCATGTTAACCTCCTCCCCACATTATGCCAAGTCCTGCACTTTGTCCAGTCTGAGTTGCAGAGACCCCAGCTGCTCTGGGCCTTCCCTCTACCACCCAATGATTAGAAGTGAATACCAAAGTAATGTCGTGGCCAGTCCTTCAAGGGTCACAGGCCAGATCCTTCCCGGAGCTTCCGGAGGTTCCAGGTGCGAGGCATCCAGAGGGGTCTGGGTCTCCCTCCCACCTCGCTGCGCGGATCTCTTATGCTACAGAGCAAGGGTTGTGGGAAACTGCGAGAGCCTTTGCGAAAGTGCGATCACAAGGCTCCCCTTTCCTCCCCTCCACCCAGTCCCACAGCTAAAGCCCGGCGGAGGGGCGGGGCTCACAGACCTTCGAGCACGGCTGGTGGTGAGGGGGCGCAGATTCTGCCCAATCTCTTTTCCCTCCCCCAGCCGGGTGGGGTGGGGCTCCCGGTTCTGTGCGTTCCGGGCGGCCCCACTCACGAGTCGAGCCTCCGCGGGGCAGTAGATGACAAGGCAGAAAGGGCTGGGCAGGGAGGGGGGGTAGGAGCAGCAGCTGCTGCGGGGGCGGGGCGGCCAGGGCTGCCTGGAACCGGGAAGAGGTGAAGAGAGGGGGGTTCTTAGGACACCAAGAAGCAGGCCGCAGTTGCCGCGCACCGCCTGGGCTCATACTCCGTAGTCCGCTTTCCCTCTCCACCCTGGGTGCATCGGCTGAGTCGGGAGCGGGCGGTTTAGCCTGCGGTCCCAAATAGCCAGCGCCCACTCTTGGCCTGGCAATTCCCAGGCGCTTACATCCATCTTCCCTTGAATCCTCTCTGTCACAGATAAGGCTCAGGGAAGGGGACCAGCTTACTCAGGATCACAGAGCAGATGCATTACAAGGCTGGATGTGACCCCCAAAGCGTCTGAGTTCTGGAGGTTACAGTGGCCACGTACCAGCCCTGGGTGAGGCCAGAGGATGGGAACCTAAGCAGAACTAGGGGCTGGTTGTCCAAGCACCTCCACTATCCAGGGGTTCAGCTATTAAAGCCTTAGGATCTGGAAATTTCTATAAATGCAAAGTGCCCACTCCCCCCCCTCACCCCCCATGGCTTCTGTGCTCCCTGGTCGGTAGAGAAAAGAGACCAGAAACACAGAAAAAAAAATGCAGTTTATGTGCAGGGTTCAGTAATGGAGAAGGACAACAGAGTAACAGGGTCTTCGCTCAGCCTCTTCTAGGGGCACCAGGAAGCCGGGAGGAAGCCAAGAAGGGCGTGCTGCTTCAGGCCAGCCCCTCTGCTAGGCTGGCTTCAGAGTAGACCGGGTCTCAGGGGGAGGGGTTGGCCCCTGGGCCCAGGTAGGAGCCTCGGCTCTCAGGGGTGCTGTAAATGGTTAAAGCTCCAGGAAGGCCGAGAGCTGGGCTTCCCAAAGCTGCTTGGACATCCAGAAGGAGTGGTGCCCCAAGTGTGGAGTCCTTCCCTAGGAGGATTGGACTGTGCTCAGCAGGGAGAAACAACTCTTCCTTCTATCTTTCAGGAAGGAGAGCCTTGCCTGCCCTGCCCTCTGGTCAGTTAGGATGAAACATCCATTCTTAACCTCCCCGCTTTCACCCAGCAGCGAGAGGGTGGGTGGCTCTCAGAGGGCAGTTGGAACTCTGGGGATTTCCCTCCAAAACACAAACTGCCCAGCCTACCCAATCCTGGTAGCTCAGACCAATTAGGACCTCCCCCAGGTCCTGAGTCACCACAACTGTTACCTGGCCCCGGAGAATTTAAGCCCTTGACTGCCAGCTCACTCTCACTCCTCTCTGGAACCAGCGGCTGCATCTGCATAGGAGAACCCCAGGAAGCAGCTGTGGAGGGGAACTGAAAAGGGAAGCTCTCCAGCTCTGGCTGAGGGCTTGGTTCAACAACTCTAACCCCCTGGCCTCCCCACCTTCACCTTACCAGGGACAGCTCCATGTCCAAGTCCATCAAGGTCCATTCTCGCCCTTGGTGGCTGGGGCCTAGCACCTGGGGGAAGCTCTAGGTCAGTGGTGCCTTCCCCAGGCTACATAGACCCCACAAGCCCCATGCCCCTGCCCTGCTGAAAGTGTACTCACATCCAGAGGCCCCGCAGGCTCCACACTTTCAGGGGGGCCCCGAAGCAGCATGGGAGGCAGCAGATTCTCAGGGCTCCGCACCCCCCTGTCTAGGCCCATAGTTCCCCTGTGCACAGAGAACTGCTGTTGGCCTGCAGTGTTCGCCCCCACCCCCACCCTGTTAGGTTCCCAAGGATCCTGGATACATCAGGATCAAAATCTGACATCTACAAAATGGTCGGAGATGACTCCCCACCTAGAGTGTACTTAAAGAGTGCCTCTGCCTCCTACTTTTGACCTGAGGTTTGGGTTATGGAGCCAGGGTCTTGGGGATATATCCCCTCTCTTTGCAATTGTCAACACCAGTGGTTCTTAAACTACTGTGTACTTTACAATGTTTCCATTCGCCCCAATGAACTCCTTTACAATACAGGTTACTGAGCCCTACCACAGATATGCTGACTGAACTGCCATTTCTACTTTTCAGGGGACTGTGATGGTGGTACTCTTTAGAGCAACTCTGGGAAGTTAGGTCAGATCATAGTGCCTGACCTCCCCTTCAGGCACCATGAGCAGACAAAGCTGAGAAGTTAGTTATCTAACTAATGGGTGGTCTATCTGCAAAAGTAGCTCACCGGGCTCACAGTCAAGAATGGATTCTTTGCTCACCTGTCAGGTACCTCCCTGGGGCCCCTTGGTTCAGGCTGTTGGGCATTCCTGGGCCCCTCAGGGCTGAAGCTCCCTTTCCCTTCCAGGATGGCCTGCACCACAGCCACAGGCAGCGGTGGGGGGGCTGTCACGCAGAAGTCACACTCGTTTGGGGCCAGGGCCAGCCCGGCCTCGCCTTCCCCCCCTGGACTGGCCGGCTCTTCTTTGAGCAGTGCCAGGCCCTTCTCCCTGCACCAGAGAAAAGCTTCAACCAGACCCTTGCACTGACTTCCCTCCATCCCCCCACAGCCATCTGGGCTGCTAGGCCATCTCCCACATGCTCCCCAGTGGGCAGCCCTGTCTGTCTTACCTCCTGCCACCACTGGAAGGAGAAAGCCTGGTCCCATCAGGGGATGGAGAGTCTTCATGGATGTCAGAAATGATAGGGCCCCTGGCCCTGTGAGAGCTAGTGAGGCCCAAGGTGGTCTCTGGGAGGGGCTGTAAGAAGACAAGTAGGCCCAGTCCTTCACCTCAAGCCACAGGGAAAGCCAGAACCCAACCAGGTTCTAAGGTGTAAGGTTTGAGGGGGGAGGCTCAGTCCATTATGGGGAACCTGGGTCTGCAGTGGTTTAGGGAGAAGCTGAACTCCACCTTCTCTTCCTTTTTGGGAATGGGAGAATTGAGGAAAAGAAGAGGCTCTCCATAATCCCAGCTATGCCCTAGGGAAGGGAGGAGGAACACAAACTTACCGACTGGATAAAGTAGGGATCCTGAAGGAGGGCACCAGGTAGGGGGCAGGCACTGAACTTGGCTGGGGTTGGGCATGAGCTCCCCTCATCCAGCATCAGAGACCTGTGCAGGGGGGTGGGGCAGGTTCATTCCCCCATGCCTCTCAGCCTGCACCTCCCTCCCTCAGGCCCCAGCAGCCAAGTCAGCAGAGCTCAGGCCTGTTGCCAGGGCATCAGTCACATGCTAGAGGCAGAAGGGGCTCCACCCAGAGATGGGGGCCCTTTGGGGGTGGAGAGGGGAGGGAGGGAACATGGTTTCAGCCCCAGACCCTCTGTTGTTGGGATGTTTTAGAGTAAGATGGAAGGGGGTGCTGAGGGTGGGGGAATTGGGGGATAAGGTTCTGGAACACAGGGATCTGGAAATGGGGGTACTTGGTGGTAGAGTTGGGGAGACAGGGGGAAAGTTCTGGAGGGGGGGCCTTGGGGAGATTGCCACGGGTTGAAGAAAAAGCGGTAGTGCAAGGAAGAAGAATGAGGATTCCCAGTGAAGGGGCTTCTGGAGAAGGAGTGTCTGCATGGGGTCTCTGACAGGAAGGCTCCTGGAAGTATGTGTGGGGTGGGGGCGGCATCCCTGAATTTCTCACTCACAGCTTTCTCTTAGCTCCTGCGTTGCTGGACCCTGTCTGAAGTGGCCCAAAGAGGCACTGGATCAGCTAAAGAGGAAGCAAAGGATTAATTCAGACTTCCAACCTTGCCCCAACCCAAGGCACTTCCAGTGGATTTGCCACTTGGGCAGAGGAGGTGGGTGTGTTCAGGAGTGGAGAGAAGAGGGGTAGGGGGAGAACACCTTGCCAATGACTCGGTGTTGCTGACCGTGGCTCTGCCGCAAAGTCACCACCTCTCTCCATAAGATCTCGTTCTGCCTGCGGGAAGGCGCGGGGGAGGGGTGCTGAGGCATCTGAGAGTCTGCCCAGTCACCACCCCCCACAGAATGACAGGCCCGAACCCACGACCACTCAGACGATCGCCCATCCATAGAGAATAGAGTTCCACAGCTCAGCCCATTTGTCTGGATGGAGGCACCAAGACAAGAGAGGAAGGAGCTGTCCAGAACAGCCTGGCAGCCAGTATTCTCTCGTCCAGACTCCCCTTCACCCCTTCCCCCCCTCCTACTCCCCCTCCCCCCGCACTGCCTGAGCTCCCGCAGCCGCGCCTCGGTGCTCTCCTGCACTCCCCGCAAAGCCTGCACCTCGCCCAGCAGCCGGCCCAAGTCCTCGGGGCGCCAGCGACCGTCGTCGCTGCGCAGCGCAGGCACCTGCGGGTGGGAAGTACCATCGGGTCAGAGTCATCTAGAACACGGCCAGCCGTCTCGACACCTCCACCCGGGGTTGCTGGTTTCTGCAGGCCGTACCCACCTTGCGCCGCACGCGTTCCAGTAGTTGCTCTCGGCCACGTACAAAGCTCGGATGCTGGAATTCGACGTGGTCGCGCTCTGGCCTCAGCAGACCGCCCTGCTCGATGCTCACCACCTTACGAAAACCGTCTAGGGAGTGGGGCGTGGGGGAGTAAATTGCCCGATCTCCACGCACCAAGTCACTCACACCCACTTCCCGTCTCGCCCTAAGGACTCACACATGTTGAGTTGCCGCACGAAGCTCGCCATGTTGCTGTGCTTGAAGTATTGGGGTAGCACTTCCTTGGCGAAGCGGCTCTGGTCGCTTACGAGGAAACTGGTCCCGCTCTGCCAAGAACGCCGCCCGCCCACCCACCGTGCGGGCGGAGACCGGACGGCACAGTGAGGCGTGCCCGCCCACGGCCAGGTCCGCGCTCTGGCGCGCGCGCGCGCACACACACACACACACACACACACGCACACACACTCGCACTCGCGCTGGGGACTCAGCCGGCCACTCCTGGAGACATGGGACGAGGCTAGGCCTGCACCGGCTATGAGGCCTAGCGTGGGGCCACCACAGTGAATTCTTACCCTAGCCCAACCCAGAATCTCTACTGGATTCTCGGAAAGGAGGAGCAAAGGCCAGACTTAGGTTCCAGCCCTGGATGGGTCCCAGACCCAAGATGTCACTTGGAGCTAGAACCAGACCCAGCCCATCCCTCCCTCTCCTGGTCTCTGTTTTCCGATCTGTTAGGGTGGAGTGGGAACTAACTGACCTTGAAGATCCCTCAGGCTCTAGGTCTCCAGAAGACTCCTACCTACTCTTTCCTCGGTCCGTAAGAAATCGCCTCACCTCCATCTCGCACACCCCCTCCAGGGTAAACTACCCTGAACAGCTGACTCGGGGGACCCACAGCCCTATCCCAGGAGGGGGTTGGGTGGGCGTGGATGTTCACTGACGTAGAAGGATCCCGGGGACCACTGGGGAAATCAAGGGGCCCCAGCCCTCACCGGGCTCCAGCGGATCAGGTGGTCGGTCCCCGGGTCACCCACCAGCGCCCACAGCTTGCCGAGGAAGGCAGGCACGGGACTGGGGCCCGGCTCCGTGGGCAGCGCTGCTGGCGCTTCCTGCATGGCGCAGTCTCAGCCCGGCTAAGCGCTCGGGCCCGGGCGCCGTGGGCTTGTCAAAGCCGCGGAAAGTGCTGCGTTTGCCGCCCGCCCCGCCCTACTCCGCCTCTGGGCGCTGGGTCAGGCGGGGGCCACGTGCGAACCCACGGGGCGGGGCTCAGACCGCGGCCGCAGCAACAGCGGACACAGAGGGAAGGCTGGGATCCGATGTGAGTGGAGGGGTGAGTGGAGGGGTGAGGTGGGGCGGGAGACCTGGGTTTGAGCCCCACCCTTTGTTCTTAGGGAGAAATCGCCCATGCGCGTCCTGGTGGGGACTGGAAAAGTCCTAGAAGGTGATGGCCATGGCCTGGATAGAGAAGGCAGATAGGAGTGAAGGGGCGGGGGTGGGGGGTGGGGGCGGAGCAGGTGCGGAGAGGAGAAGCTGGTACCCTCCCGAAGAACTCTGGGACATTGTCTTTCCAGGGATGCGGAATGCCACGCCCCTGACCTCAGCAGCCGCGGCGGTATCAGTACAACTGATCTCTCCTACGTCTACCCTGGTAGTCCTCTGGCCTCTGCGGGTTCCGTGTTCCCCCCGTTCAGAGCCGGCCCCGCCTTGCATAGGACACAGTGTTGCTGCAGGATTTGTTTATTTCACACTCACCCCTAAGGCGCCTCCTGAGCCTGTGTCCTCTCTCCCCACCTCCCCGCTCTCCCACCCATGCCAGGGCCGCGGAGCCAGCGGAGCTTCCATAGAGTAGTGGGGTTGAAGGAGGATGATCCCACCAAGATACACCCAGTGGACTCAGGACGCAGGGGCTGGTCCCGAGGCAACAGTCTTGAAGGAGCGGGCTAGTAGTAGGTGCACCTGGGCAGATGCATCCAGCATCTCAGTGGCCACACACATCTGGTGAGCAGGCGGTTACACCATCACGCCACAGGCGTGGGCAGCCAGGGATGTGGCTCCCGCGTTAGTTTGAGCGTGTAGCTGCGCAGGCGCGGACAGTGCGCGCGGAAGGCGTGCAGCACGGAGGGTCGTACCACGCAGAAGCAGTGTACTTCGCGCAGGCCCGGACAGCGCGCAGCCAGCAACTCCAGCGCGGCGTTCAGCTCTGCTGAGGCAGCGGCGCGCACCTCGAACGCGCGCAAGGTTGAGGCGTAGTGGCGCGCTGCAAAGCGCACCGGGCCTACGGTGTCCCCAGAGAGACTGAGACGCAGCGCAGCCACCGGCACAGCAGGCTGCAGGACGCGCGTCACGCTCTCGTCAGGCAGCGCTGGCTCCAGCTCCAGCTCCACGACCAGTCCTGGGTGGCGGCGGCGCACTGCAGCCCAGGCTTCCTCGGGCAAGGCGGGCGCGCGTGCGTCCTCCGGGCACGCGCACCGTAGGGCCAGAAGCGCGAAAGGCGCGCGGTCCCGCGCCGCTAACACCTGGAGGGCGGTGCCTGACAGGCTGGCTAGGTGCAGGCCAAGGGCGCGAAGGCGCGGGCAGGCCTTTAGTAGCTCTATCACTGAGTCTGGCCTCACGCTGCCCACCAGGGTACAGTTGTCCAGGAAAAGGCTTCGGAGCTCGGGGCAGCCACGTGCCACCTGCAGCACCAGTGCATCGTCCAGTGTGAAAGGCAAGCGCCGAAGGTCGAGGTGACTCAGCGCGCAGGAGGCCCGGCAGATGGCGTGCACGGCGTCCAGGATGTCGCGGCCTGAGTCGAAGAGGGGCTTTTCTCCGCGGCACTCCAGGAGCAGGCTTCGAAGCCCCGGGGTACGACCCGCCAGTGCAGTCAGCAACTCCGTGGCCGCCCTGCGGCTCGGCTCCCTGGACGGCTCAAATTCCAGCCGTAGGTTGTGAACGTGGTCCAGGCTGGCGGACAGATATGGTAGCAGCGTACCTTCTCGCTCACAGTCGCAACTTGCGGTTAGAACGGTGGAGAAGAGGCATTGGCTTCGAGAGGACTCTGCCTATCCCTCAGCCTGGGGTCCAGCTACTGACCCCACGCTGCCCCCTACACATATACCTCCCAGTCCTGATCATGCCTGGTTGCTGCAATGTAGCTGATACTAGAGGGACCTCCTACCCTATCTCTTTATAAGACTTAAGATGCATCTGTCACTAGGTGAAACCATGGCAGGGAGAGCCAGTGACATTTTGGGAACTGAGCTTTCTCAGAGGTCTCTAAGGAGGCATGGCGTGGCCTCTGAACTGTCAGGTTCCCATTCTGCCTCTGCTATTCTTTAGTTGAATGACCTGTAGGAAGTGATTAAATCTCTCTGCCTCAATAGACATAATACTACTACTTATCTACCACATAAGGTTTTCATGGGGATATACAAAAGGCACTTAGAACACCGGTTGCTACATAGTAGGCAGTCAATAAATGTTAGCAATGATTGTGCTTTTTAATACGGATATCCCTAACCCAAACTCCATGAAGAAAGGGAGAAGGCAGGAAGAGGCGGGAGAGGGAGGGGCCCCGCTCACCTGATGATCGTGTGGTGCCACACGACGCTGCAGGTAGCAGCAGCAGCCCAGGCTCTGCAGACCCTGGCGGCGGTGGCACGGTCCCGCAGGGGCAGGTGGCGAAAGATGAGCGCCAGCACCTCCTCTGGCAGTTGCTCTCCAGGCTCTGCCATGACCTTGTGCGGGGTGGGAACTCTGTTCCTTCCAGCAGCTTTTGCCTGGAGAGAGAGGGGCATCTCTGGGCTCAAGAAAGCCAAAATGTTGGGACCACCAGAACCTACGTGTAGAAATGCTTGTGCCCCAGGAATTGTTACATAGTTTGTGGAGCCCAGTGCAAAATGAAAATATGGGACTCTTCGCTGAAAATATGAATAATCTCAAGACCGTGATGGCAGAGCATTTGACCAAATTATCAAACTAAGCATGAGGCCTTGTACCTCTGACTGCAAAGGTCTCAGACCCATGAGGTTGGCCCAGGATGCCTAAAGATTCTTTCACACTACATTCTCACTTGTTGAACAAATATGCATTTTCTGCTATACTAGAAGAAATACAGCTACGACCTATGTGCAAAGTTGATAAAGCTGAATATCTGGATTTGGAAAAGGCTATGGGATCTTTCACCTCGTTACTAAGGTTTACCCTGGGGAAGGTGGAGGGCGGCTGCACCAGCGGTAACTCGGGACAAACCGTCCTCCCCTCCCTACGCACCACCTCCCCAGCTCAGAGAGCTCCTCTGGCCCCTGACTGCCTTCCCATACACACACTCAGAGCCACCCGGACCACCCAGACTAATCTCCCAGACATCTTCCAGAACTGTTACTGTTTCCTTCCCTGGACTCTGAAGTGTCAGAGAAAGACCGGGCCCAAACCTCGCCTCAAGGGCGCTCTAAATGTGGGCTTCTCGGATGGAGGGGAGCATTAGGATCACCCACACACTTGCTCACAATACATATTCTACCGCCCACATACTAAATCAGGCTCTCCGGAAGGAGTAGGGCCCAGGAATCTGATTTTTAAGAAGTGCCAGTTGACTCGACCTGTCCCAAGTTGAGAAACCACGTCCTAGCCTTGCCAGTCACTAGAGGGTTACGACAGGGTTAATAGAGCGAAAACATTGGAGAATACTTTTAATTGGCAGGGACCACCAGCCAATCAGGAAGCGGGGGCGCGGGTGGGGCACTGCTGAATCTGCTCTGGGAGCTAAGGCTCCTTGCTTTCCTCTACTTCACTGGCGAGAAGTCCCGGGTACTTCCAGAGAAAGGCCGGAGGGGCGGAGAATAGCTTCGAGCTTTGAGACCTGAGCGACCCTGGGTTCAAGTTTCGATCCTGATCCCAGAGCAGTACAGGCTCAGGCTGGGCGATTTAGGTTCAGAATCCGCAGATCCATCCCGGAGCGTGGCTTTTTGTTGGAAAGTGTATGTCCTCCTCGAAGTTGCCAGTTTTATTTTAGGGTGCTTGAAGGTTTTCCTATACGTTTCACACCACTTTCCAGTTTTCTATTTTCCCATATTCTCCAGGTTAACCGTGCCTGCTGCAATATGCGCCTCATGTATCCTTAGGGCTTCAGATACCCTCGGCTAGGCTTGAACTTGGACCCATCCATCAGCACCCCGTTCTGAGTGCCAGGAGTAGGAGAGGTCAGAGATCATCGAGCTCAACCCTCTAGAAGGCACTAGAAAATTACGGTACCCAGGGGGTGCCCCTTTGTTGATCTGTTTCCTGCCTGAAAAAGTGAGACAGCTCTCACCCTGGGGTCCCCTGGGCTCGTAAGAGCTCCAAGTGCCCAAAGTCTCTTGCCGTGGGCAGTTCTTCCCGCCGTCTAACCCTGGGCACCAATGTCTTACCTGCTCAACGGACCAAGTGGGCTTTGCCCAGAGGCTGGGGACTGACGCCAGAGCACAGTGGGAGGGAAGGAGTCACAGGGAGCACGAGGGGCGGGACGCCGGGGCTGACGGGGCCGCTCGGACCGGGGCACCGCCCCTGCGTTGCGCGCACACCCGGAAGCAGCCTAGTCCACTGGAGCAGGGCGGGCGTGGGAATCCGGGCTGGACCCAGGCTGCCAGGTTAGTGCAGAGGGTGGGTGGGCTTCCCCCGGTGCCTGCGGGAGCAGAGGCGGATTCCGGCTCAGGAGCGTGGGCGCAGCGCGGTTGTCACCCGCGGCTGCCTGGGCCAGCTGGTGGCGGTGGCCTATTGGGGTGTTTCCTTGGGAGGCAAGAGAGAGCGTAGGGACGTTGGCACTAGCAGGTTCCCCGTCCCACCTAGGGTCTTTAGGGGTGGGTGGGTGGTCAGGTTCCTACTGGTGGGAGGGCGGGGCTCCTTCTGATTTTGCCTGTGAGAAGAGACCTGTTCCCGCCCCAGCCAGTTGCACATGCGACCCAAGCATGAGGGTGGGCACAACTGGAGGCTGGGGAGCTTCCCTCGAGGGCTCGGGAGAGGGGCAGCTGAGTAGGGGGACGCGCCAGGATGGATGCAGTTCTTGAGAGGCCCTGCCCGCAGGCCGTTGCTGCCCACCCAGCCGGAGGTGGAGCTGCCCCGGAACAGTTAGGCTGTATTAACGGGGCGCTGCGCCTGGCTGGCCCCTGGTGGTAGGGGTCTGTCTTCTTTAGTTGGTACCCGCGTGTCCCTAACAGTCTCAGCTCACTGAAGACTTCTCAAGACTCAGTCCGGCCCGCCCTCAGAGAGGCGGACTCCGGTTGGGTGAGGCGCGGGGCTTCCCAAGGAGGGGCTTCTGTAGAGGCAGGAAGGACTTCCTCAGCGCACAACTCGAGCCAAGGGTCTCCGTCCTCTTCCCGATGCTATTAATCTGACCCTCCAGACCTCCAGCCATAGCTGTTTGACTTATCTCATTTGTCCACTAGTGAGTGTAATAGAGCATCCCCCCTTCCTCCAAGTTTCCAGGGCCCGCCCTGACAGTTCTGATGGGCAGACTCTGACCCGGCCCTCGGCCGCCCCCCCATCCCCCGCCGCCACCACCAACTTCCACATTCATGGGGTCAGCACCCTCAAGTCAGGGAGCTAAGAAGACATGGAAACGTTTAAGGGCAGGTTCCCACACTTTCTTGCCTTCTGGGTCACTCCCCCTGGGCTCCTCGCTTTTTCACTTGTCTTGTACTGCTCTTGGTCCCACTTGTCATTTATAGAGTCTTACCCCGTTTTTTTTTTTTTGCTTCAAATTTATATTGCTTTTTAATACAAAGGAAATATGTCTATTTTACATAAAGTAGAACCTTGATAAATACAATGAAAATAAAAATTCCCCCCCCATCACCTTCCCCACCCCTTGCAAAGATAAACATCGCTAGCTAGTTTCCTGTTAATTTCCAGACTATTGCTTTGGATAAATACACAAGTATTAATATGTTTTCTACCAAAAGGTTATGGGGGAGGGAGTCTCAAAAGGTATGACCTCTGTGCTCAGACGGAGGGTGGGATGGACCATCACCAGGTCTGGGTGATGCTGGAGGGCCCCTGCCTGGCTACTTACCGTCCCAGCTTTGGCGCTCAGGTTAGGGTCTGGGGGCAGATCTGAAATGCAATCTCTGTTTTGAGCTCAGGATTCCTACTCCCTAACCAACGAAGTCCAAGGGGCCCTCTGCGCCACCCCTCACCACCACTGAGGTTTCCTGTCCCTCATGTAAATGGATGCCAGCGGGCACCATCTCTTCTGTTATGTCTAGAGCAAAGACATCCAGGGTTCTTACAACTGGGGCTCAGCATCCCCTCCTAGTCCACTGTATGTAAATACAGATCAGAAATAAAGAGGTGTGACTGGTGGGGCAGAAGGTGGAGCCTTGAAATGTTTCTAGGAAAAGGGTAGGATGTTGGGGAGGGAGGTGGGGAGGAAGAATCATGCTGCACCGTGCTGCCTCATAATGCAGTAACTGGGAGGTAGTTGAGTTGAGGAGGGTCAGTGAAGTGATTTCCTAGCTGGGGATTTTACCCTTCTGGTCTAGGGCTAGGATTTTGTCAGAAGATAGATGGAGGAGATGCTAGCACCAAGGGGCCCTGGCTCCCTCTGGATAAGGAGGGAATCTGTAATAGAACAATTTGAGTTGCATAAGACAAGAGCCCAGCTCCAAGGACTTTAGAACAAAAAGGAATGATTTAGCTCACATAACTGAGCAATTCAGGGTGCAGCTAGAACCAGGGGCATAGTATGGTTAGGCATGCATCTCTTCATCTATTGGCTCTGTCTCCTTCTGTCTCAGTTTTATTCTCAGCCAGGCTCTTTCCAGGAAGTGGCAAAGGAGTCCTTCCAGCTCAGCCCATGTGAAGGGAAACTAGTGTCTCTTTCTTATTGGTCCAGCCAAGGTTGCAGGTTGATTCTGATTGGTCCAACCTGAATCCTATACCCAACTCTGAACTAATTGTTTCAGAAAGGGGAGTGGAATAAGAAGATTGGCCAGGTCTATTCCTCATGGTGCACACCTGGAGCTAGGGAGTGGGGTCAGTGCCCCCAACAGGCACATGGATAGAAGAGGGAAGGCCCCAAAGGTCAGTGAGGGTTGGGGGAGGGAATCTGGTCAGGTGAAGACTACAGGTATCCTTCGAAGTGAAGCCAGGGGGTATGGTAGGAATGCAGGTGAGAAAACCTAATGGGGGCTGTGGTCCCAAAGGGTCGGGGCTCAAGTTTAAGCTGAAGGCATTAACCAGGACATGGATTCAGTTGGCTGTGGGGCATGGGCACTGCCCAGGATAAGTATGTCTCCTGTCACCTTTGATAAGAGGGACATCCTGGCCTGATGGGAGTGGGGGATCAGAACTCTGCCTCCACTGCAGTATAGTACCTCTCTTTTTCTGCCACTGTGACCCTGGGCTTTCTCTGAGAAGGTAATGAATGGACAGTTCCTCACTCCAAGTCTGGGCTGAGCTGGGCTGGGCTGTGCAGAGCCGGAAGCACAAGAGCTGCCTGTGAGATGATGAACTTCCCCTCGCAAGTGTGCTAGCTGGGTGGGGACAGCTAGGCCATGAAGGACTGGATACTTACCTCCAGGGCTGGGTTGGGGGTGATCTGGATGTCTATCTGTCTCTCCAGGAGGCAAGATGGCGACTGGGCTAAAGGGGCTCGAGGAGTGGGTGGGCAGCGCATACCTGTTTTTGGAGTCCTCGCTGGACAAGGTGGTCCTGTCTGATGCCTACGCTCACCCCCAGCAGAAGGTGGCGGTGTACAAGGCTCTGCGGACTGCATTGGCAGGTGCGTGGCGGTGGGGGTGGGTGGGGGGGACGGTGTGCAGGTACTTGAAGAGGAAGGGGTTGGGCTTGGGCCTTTGTGGGCAGGGCCAGGGGCTGAGGCCCCACTCCCTTAACTCTGTAGATCCATGCTTAACCACTGTGTTAAGGAAAAGACATGATGGAGAGGGGAGGAGGGGAGAGGGGTGCCTGGTTTCATAAGTCTGTCTTCTCTGTTTATGCATGTGTGCCCTTGGGTGTAGACATGTGTCCCCGTATCTGTATATGATCTTCCTGTATGAGCACTAACGTCCCCCCACCTGCTTGATGCTGTTTACTCCCCAGACGAGCCAGCTCTCTGCTTTCTAGTAATCGCGCCTGTCTCTCTTCTTTTCCTCTTTCACTGCAGCACTCCTTGCCCAAGATCTCTCCCTAGTACCTACCTTTTGGGCCCCCCTTTCCCATCTCAGGGCAGAGGCCACAGGAAGCTGAAGCCGGTTGGGGGATCCGCCTCCTTTCTGGGCAGTGGGAGCCACAGTTGTTGGAGCCTGAAGACCTGAGACATCTCCCTCCTCCGCTGCCCCGCCGGCTGCCCACCCAGAAGGCTGCACACCCAGTGTGAGCCCTGGGCACACACCCCTCTCTGTGCTGCAAAGCCTCTCCCAATGTCCCCTTTGCCCACCCTCATTTGAGGCTTCAAGGGTGGGGCTGGGGTGGCACCCATTCTGTCTTACGGTGCTCCCTGTGATAGGTTCTGGTTTTCAGTTTGGGTTGTTGCTGTGTGCATTCCAGTTTTGTTTCCCAGCTGGGAGATAGAAACAGGGAGGGATTCTGCGCGGGCTTCACCCCACTACAGCCGCTTGGAGAACGGCCCCGCATGGGGACCACTTGTCACCTGACTGTCCGCCTCTGCAGAGAGTGTTGGGAGCCCGGAAGTGCTGCAGATGCTCAAGATCTACCGCAGTGATCCGCAGCTGATTGTGCAGGTGCGTTTTTGCGGCCGCCAGCCCTGCAGCTGCTTCCTGCGCGCTTACCGCGAGGGGGCGCTGCGCGCCGCGCTGCAAAAGTGCTTGGCAGCGGCACTCGCCCAGCATTCGGTGCCATTGCAACTGGAGCTGCGCGCCGGCGTGGAACGGCTGGACACCTTGCTGACGGATGAGGAGCGCTGTTTGAGTTGCATCTTCTCCCAAAAGGTGCGGCTGGGCCGGGGCCAGGTTGGGGTGGAGCGGGGATCCGCGTCTAAGACATTCACCGACGACCCCCACTCCTCTCCCTAGCCTGACCGGCTCCGGGACGAGGAACTCTCGGAGTTGGAGGATGCCCTCCGGAATCTGACATGCGGCTCGGGGGGCCAGGGTAGCGACGTGGAGGTCGCTCCGGCGCCCTTGCAGTCCCTGGACACTTCTCTCTCAGAGGAAAAGCCGCTCCCGCCTCCATCTGGCCAGACTTTTCTGTTCCAGGGTCAGCCCATAGGTGAGGCGCGCGCAGAGAGGCGAAAGCAGGGTCACTGGGAAGATGTTTTGGGGAGGAGCAAGGTCTGGGCCGGGTAGTCACCGGGTGGGAATGGAGGGTACCACTCCTGGCCTCCCCGAGCTCATTCTGCTTCCCATTCCCCTCGCAGTGAACCGGCCGCTGAACCTGCAGGACCAACAGAAGTTCGCGCGCTCAGTAGGCCTCAAGTGGCGCAAAGTGGGGCGTTCCTTGCAGCGAGGCTGTCGTGCGCTGCGGGATCCGGCGCTCGACTCACTGGCCTATGAGTACGAGCGCGACGGGCTGTACGAGCAGGCCTTCCAGCTGCTGCGGCGCTTCGTGCAGGCCGAGGGCCGCCGCGCCACGCTGCAGCGTCTGGTAGAGGCACTAGAGGAGAACGAGCTCACCAGCCTGGCAGAGGACTTGCTGGGCCTGGCGAATCCCGATGGCGGCCTGGCCTAGGCTAAGTACCAGAGAAAGGGGCGATGCGCCAGTTATTCAGCCAGGGTTTGGAGCACTTAGATGACTCTAGAGTCCCTTTTGCTGCTACTGCTGAGCTCTGTCCATCCATGGGACTCTGAGACCACTTAGCTGAGCTGTTGGAGCTGCTGGGCAGTGCTGACTGCCTTCTCCAAGAGTTGGGCAAGCACCCACCATGCCTACTGGGGTGCCCTTGGGGATTTGGCTCCAAATACTATGACACAGACAGAGTGCAAGGGTGACCTGCTGCAGCAGTCTGCCTACCCCCAAATGAAGGGCTTCTGGCCAGCCCTTACCTCTTCACTATTGAACAAGTAATTGCTCATTAAGCACTTGCTGTGTCCTCCTCATCATCCTGGGTGCTGCAAATACTGTGGTGAACAAGATACATGAAACTGCCTGTCCCCCAGTTCATATTCAGTGTCGGACTGCAAATATTAAGCAACAGTAATAAAACATTACCTGTTTTTTGATGTGAAAAATAGGGGTTAGGCTTCTGGGGAGAGATATATGAGTGTGAATAGATGAGAGGGTGGGGATTTGAGAGAATGGCAACATTCTGGGCATCGCCAGCCTAGGGTGAGGTCTTGGGGAATGATAGAACAGAGAATGTTAGAACAGGAAGTTTGGAATGGCTGCATCTAGGGGTGGGTGGGCTTGTAGAGAGACTAGTTGGTGAGTGTGTGAGGCAGATAGCTTGGGGACTGGTGAGCCACTTTACACAGTTTGGATTTTATCTGAGGCCAGGGAGAAGCATTTAGAGGGTTTGGGGAGTTAAGGATAGGAGGCTGGTGAGGAGGGAGAAGGGGAGGGAGGCGGAGGGAGAGAGGGGAGGGGAGGAGAGAGAAGGTGCAGGCTAGGGCAGCGGCAGAAGAGATGGAGGGAAGAGATGAACACTAGGAGCAACTTAAGATGAAAGGTAACAGGCCTAATGACACTGGATGAGTGAGAGTAAAGGACTTCGGTTTCAGCTTTTGTCACCTGGATGGAGGGTGGGGTGGTCTGTTGAGATGGGGGCCTTCAATCTCCAGAACAACTCTCTGCCCACCTGGGTCCCAGATCAAACCCTTTGCTCATTGGCTTACTTCAGGAACCCCCCAAGCTGAACCATTCCTGCCAGTCCGGCCTGGCCTGCAGTGACCCAGGCTTGGTTATTTCTGCCTGCAGCAGGCTATGCTGATTTGGGGCACTAGGGACCAGGGGGCCCAAGAGGTGCCTCTGGGGAAACAGACTGAAATGCTCACTGTGAAGTCAAAGCAGATGGGGTAGGCTTCCTGTCCTGTATCCTAGTGAATGGATGGAGAGAGAGGGCAAGGGAGGGCAGAGGAAAGAGTTCCAGACTGAATTCCAGAAGACCTGGGGCAAAGCTCTTACTTTCTGCTTATATGATGCTGGGCAAGTCACTTAATTTCCTGAAGGGCAGTGTCCCCACCTGGGCATGGGCAATGAGAGCTGCTACCAGAGTTGTGAGAATTGATTGACCTGTCTTAGGTGTGTATGTGTGTTGGCAGGTGGGGGCGGGGGGCATAGTAGAATCAGGAGGAAGGAGGCAGCCACGGGCCCGGGGGGCCATTTACAATTTATAGGTCCTGCCTGGTCGAACCAGGGCTGCTGGTGAGCTGAGGAGAGGATCTTCCAAGGATAGCCTGGGATAGTGGCCAAGTAGATGCCCAAGATGCCGGGCCTCAGGGATTTGGGACCCGTCTGTCCGGGGCTCCTACCAGCCAAGCCCCTGCCTCACTCCGAAGGGGTGGGGGTGTGGAGATTAGCCAGAGGGGCTAATGTTTCTTCCTGCCCCCGCATAAAGGCAGATTTGGGGTGTTTGAGCCCACGCCCAGACCAGAACCCACCTTCTCAGGCCTTCCCAGAGAGATGCCTGTGGGGATCCCTCTCAGCGATTAGTCCCCCACTTGGAGACAGCGCTCCGGGAGACGCCAGGGCGGAGCTGAAATCCAGATGTCCGGGAGCGCACAGCTGGAGGGTCACGTGGCAGCGGCCTGGGGGCGGGGGGGGGGGGCCCTTCCTGCCAACGCTGCATTTGGCCCAGGCCGGGTTCATGGCTGCCCTTGGGACCCTGCGCTGAGCCCCGGAGGCCCTGGCGTCCGGGGCCGCGCCGCTCCCAAGGGACAAGAGTGAGTGTCGGGATCCAAAGGACCGGCGTGGTGGGTAGGGAGGGGTGGAAGGGATTCGGCTTTGGCGCGGGAAGGGCGGGCGGGGAATGGGGCCGAGGCTCCGAGTCTCCCGGCCTTGAGGAACCGTCCTGGGCCGGCGTTGAGGGGTGGAATTGGCTATTAGGGGGAACTTCCAACCCCTTCAGGGTGCCCATCCCAGTCGGGGAGCGGGAGTGTGTGCCACGGCCGGGAACAGGAAAACGCCGGAGGGGGATGAATGGCTGGTAGCGGAGACCCTCCGCTTGTAGTCGCAGCCCCCTCCCCTGGGGAGAGCGTTAACGGGAGCCCCCCCACCTACCGCTGGCTTCCACATCGGGAGCCCCTGACTGAGTCTCTCCGCAGGGGGCGGGGGCGTGAGCCACGCGGACATGAGGCGGAGGCTGCGCCTACGCGGGGACGCGTCGCTCACGCTGCTCCTCGGCGCCGCCCTCGGCCTCCTGCTCTACACACAGCGCGAGGGCGCGGCCCCGACGACCAGCGCACCCCGAGCTCAAGAGAAAGTAGGGGCAGCGCCTACCCCGGGCCTCCGAGTCTTCCAGGCACCGGACGCAGGCGCCGCCCCCGCCCCTCTGGCCTACGAAGGGGACACACCGGAGCCGCCCACACCCACGGGACCCTTTGATTTTGGCCGCTACCTACGCGCCAAGGACCAGCGGCGCTTCCCCCTGCTCATTAATCAGCCACACAAATGCCGAGGAGATGGCGCACCTGAAGGTGGACCCGACTTGCTCATCGCAGTCAAGTCCGTGGCGGCGGACTTCGAGCGGCGCCAAGCCGTGCGCCAGACGTGGGGTGCTGAGGGTCGTGTGCAGGGGGCGCTCGTGCGCCGCGTGTTCTTGCTGGGCGTGCCCAGGGGCACGGGCACTGACGGGGCAGACGCGGAGGGGGAGGGCACGCGAACCCACTGGCCAGCTCTGCTGCGTGCAGAGAGCCGCGCGTATGCGGACATCCTACTCTGGGCTTTTGACGACACTTTCTTCAACCTAACGCTCAAGGAGATCCACTTCCTGGCCTGGGCCTCGACCTACTGTCCCGAAGTGCGCTTCGTCTTTAAGGGCGATGCAGATGTATTTGTGCACGTGGGAAACCTGCTGGAGTTCCTGGCGCCGCGGGACCCGGAGCAGGACCTGCTTGCAGGTGACGTGATTGTGCAGGCGCGACCAATCCGCGCGCGGGCCAGCAAATACTACATCCCGGAGGCTGTGTACGGCTTGCCCGCCTACCCTGCATACGCTGGTGGTGGCGGCTTTGTGCTTTCAGGGGTTACACTGCGTCGCCTGGCTGGTGCCTGTGCACAGGTTGAGCTTTTCCCCATTGACGACGTCTTTCTGGGCATGTGTCTACAGCGTCTTCGGCTCACACCGGAGCCTCACCCTGCTTTCCGCACTTTTGGCATCCCTCGTCCTTCAGCCGCGCCGCACCTGAGCACCTTTGACCCCTGCTTTTACCGGGAGCTAGTTGTAGTGCACGGGCTCTCGGCGGCTGACATCTGGCTTATGTGGCGCCTCCTGAATGGGCCCCACGGTCCATCCTGTGCGCGTCCTTGGCCTGCCGCTGCTGGCTCTTTCCAGTGGGACTCCTAGTCACCTTCATGGATCCAAGATCCCCTTCACTCAGATCCAGGATGATTATTGCCGTGTATGTAGTTCTTTCCCAGAGGCAGAAGAGATATCTAGCCCCATTTCACCAGGAGTTTGGCCTCCACAGGGCCCCAAGAAAATAAGATTGTGCTTGGCTCCTGCTGGCATGGAACAAATCGAACGGTAGCCCTTTGAGACAGCCAGGGCTGAGGCCAAAGAGCACTGGGCTCTGCCAAACAGGGACACACTTGGTCCTCCTACTACCAAGTAGGTTTTTGGGAGCTGGGATGGATGGTGGTAGAGGCTCATGTAATCTAGCCATAGTCCTTGGTTTGGAAGCCCTAGAAGGCTGCAAATGCAGGGTTTTTTCAAGGCTTGAGGAGGTTGTGAGGGCCGGCCTCAGACCTCACAGAACTGGCAGGCATTTTGCTTCCCACCTGTGCCTTTTTCAGCCCTGGAAAGATCTTTAGATCTTCTGAAGTCTCCTTTCCTGATGCCATCCCCTCCTGGGCCCTGGTCTGGCTGGAACACCAGAGACAGAGGCACACAGGGACAACTGAGTGTATGGTCCTACCTAGAGTCTCCCCACTGCAGAAGAACTTTCACCCACACAACAATGCCAGTCTCCTAACTAGAGGCTGTGCTGCCCCACTCAGAGGAGCCAAAGAAACGAAGATGACTCCACCATAAAACTTGCCATATTCTTCAACCACCAACTTTCTAAAAATCAACACCCCCATGTTTATTTTAGTACAAACATCCCAGCAACGGCACATGGTGAGCAGCTGCTGAGGGCGTAGGTCTTTATTGGAGGGGTATGGGTAGGGCATGAAGAAAGTTCCCCTATTCTAGGAGGATGGGAATAGTCCTTGCTGCCCCAACAGTGGGATATATATGGGGTGGGGTTGGGGGGTGGGGTCTCAGGCCAGGCCACAGTCCAAATAGGAAGACACCAGTCAGTCACAGAGTTATGGGAGCGCCACACAAGCCTGGCTGTAAGCCCAGGAATCACTTAGGAGCCTGGGGCAGGTCCCCTGCACATTCATTGTTAAACGCTACAGGATGAGGCTGTACATGAGTTAATTACAAAAGAGTCATATTTACAAAAATATGTACACACATTTGAAAAACTCACAAAATTGTCATCTATGTATCACAAGTTGCTAGACCAAAATATTAAAAATGGGATAAAATTATACATTTCTCAATTCTTTTCAAAAGGATTATTTTTAAAGCACATATGCTACTTTCCTTAGCAAGACCCATGAAAAGACTCAGCAGCCCAGCTTTCCTTGAATCCCCACAGGCCTTGAACCATGAGTAGGCCTGGCCAGGGGACACTGCCCAGGCTTGGGGCAAGAGAGCCAGCCCACAGTGCAGAACAGAATGCTAAAACAACAAAAGGAGGAAGATGTCTTTGGCTAAAACTTTGGCATTAAATAAAAGAGGCAAACAGGATGGAAACATGCAGCCTGCCAGCCAGGTTGGGGAAGAGTGGGGGCACAGGCGACCTTGAAGGCTGGCTCCAAGAGGGGTAGGAACAGGGCCCGGGCACATACCTCGATGGTAAAAAGCTGTGTTTCGACCAAATCGGTGTGCCTACTGGGCCTGGTAGGGAGCACGTGCAAGGACGAAACAGGGAAGGGCAGGTGGGCCACCTTGGCCACAGCCACCTCATCAAGTAACTAAAGTGGGTGTAGTGCAAAAGTCGCAACCAAGTACTATGGACATGCTACCTGCTTGCCTTAAGGGTCACGTGGCAACAATGGGCCAAAGGCAGGGCCTCATCCTCATCCTGGGTGCCTGTGACCTCAGCTACAGAAAGAGTCCCAACTTTTCCCAATGTGTGTGGGGCAGGGGAGAAAGAATCCTGCCTCCTTATGTGTTAGTCGAGGTCTCCGGGGTCCAAGTATCAAGGCTCAGAGTTTGTGCTTCTCTTTGCAGTCTGTGTCCTCTGTTGGCACCAGCAAGCTGAGGACGGACAGAGGAATATCTGGGCCTCTCAATCCATAGCAGGGCACCCAGTCTGAGCCCCACCTCAGAACATCACAACAGCCCTTCAACACTGGCAGGGTGTCCAAGAAAACCCACAGGGTGGCACATGGAGGCCCGCTGAATAGGATGCGATGCACATCTCCACAGGGCAGAGGGGCATGGGCGGTGATGTCTTTAGGGGAGCTCTGCTGTTCTCAGGTGGGCACCAGGCCTGGGGGGGCCATAAAGGGTCACGGAGGCAATATGGTTATTCTGCATGACCTGGTGTGAGTAGAGGACAAGGAATCAAAGGGGAGAAAAAGAAGGGATGCAGGCAGAAAAGGCAATCAGATCCACAAAAACCACCAGTGAGGCTAGTACTGGAGCTGTCACTGCAGAGAAAGGATGTGAAGCCACTCCTGTGCACAGCGGACTGTTATGTGTACAACACACTTGCACACAGGGGTGGGCTGATCCCTTAATACCCCCAACTCATGCTAGAGCTCATCTCTGGCCCAGCAACTGCCTGCTCTTCATAAAATACATAAACTTCACTATACCTATCTATCCAGTCCTTCTGGAACTGCTAGGGGCCTGCTGAAGTTATTTGGGTATAGCAACCAGAGGGAAAACAGGGGCAGCCCATTCCTCTCCCAAACCAGTGGGGCCTCTATAACCACTTACCCATAGCATATTCTTTCATATGGCATCCAAAGGCACCCAACACTCTTGTGGTGAGCCCCACTTGCCCCCTAGGGTTCCTTTTCCTACTGTATTTACAATCTCAAATACGTGGGATCCCTGTCACCTCTCATCTTGTTGGATATAGACCACTGCTTTAGTCTCCATGACCCCAAATTTCCCCAACATAATTTCTGAACCCTTATTGTTAAATGTGGGTAGGTCAGATTCTTAGCAGATAGGGTTACTGAGGAAAGATTAACTCACCCAGGAGAGCTGTCAGGCCCTCCCCAAACTTTCTCCATCACTTGCCTATCCCTGCCATGGCCACCAGCCCCTTAACCCCCAGGGCTTACCTCAAAGATCATCCGCTGAAGACCAAAGCAGAATGTGGAGCCAAATGGGTTGGTGTTGTTTGGGGAGGAGGACCTGAGGCCAGGGAAGCCAGAATTAGAGGGGTAGACAAAAGCTGAGGCCATCAAGTCCCTTTTGGGATGGGAGCTATTGTCCAGTGGTCTCTCATGGTTTTATCTGTTTCCCACACAGGCCCTTGAGGTCCCAAGGGTGGTGACAGGTCTTATTCAAGCTCTGAATCCTACAGAGTCCAGTGGTGCGCAGGAGGTTATTACGAAGTTAGAATGGAGTGGCAAGAAGTTAGTAAGGAGAGGCCACACGCAGCATGGCAACTGGGTACAAAGCTGTGGGCTACAGCCTGTGGATATTCTGATGGGAAAAAAGAGCCAGGACAGCCAGTGAAAACTCGTTCACTTTCTGAATAACTAGGGGTGAAAGGGCCCCTCTACCTAGAGGTAGCTGGAGGGGAGTTATCCACAGGGCACAACCTCCCTCGTACAGGTAAACATGCAGAATAGCTGGCTCTGTTGTAACATGCAGGATGGGGGCAGGAAATAATGTCTGTGGCAACACTAGCAACTTCTGCCATTTCTAAGCCATAGGCACCGCTAGACTCCCTACGCCACCTGGGCTGTGAGGAGCAGGATGAGGTTGTTAGAGACAGTAACCTCCCGCTCACCTGTGCAGGACAACAGGCTTCTCCACAGGGTGGCCCAGGAGCTCTTGGATATTGTCCCACTGCAAAAGGGATGGAGGTGGCAAGGGCTTAGTGGAGACCTAACCATGCCTGTGACCAATGGCTGGCCCAGAGGATGTGGGCCCCAGACTGCCGATGGGCTCACACCCACTTCATTTTGGGGCTACATCAGGTGGGAAAATAAGAGCTCACCTTGCTGTAAGTTGTGCATGTTTCTGTCTGACCATCTGCATTTTCTGAAAAGAAACACAGGGTGGGTTGGTAGCTGGCCTAGGGTACCTGTGACCCCAGTCCTAGGCAGAATCCAAACCTGGCCACTCTGTGCATTGGGGTTAGAGTACAAAGGGAAGGCAGATGGGCTATTTCAGAGTTCTTGAATGGAAGAGGGTAGAGAACCAGCAGATGGACAGCAGTCACAAGACTGACCTGGAAGCACCTGGATAATCATGTATAGGAAACTCTCCCCGACAGAGACAACCAAACCCCACTCAGAGACTAGCAGTCCCATGGTCATAAGAAAAGACCTTTAGAACCTTCAGGAGACTACAGACTAGAACAAAGAGCCCAATCCTTAGGAGCTGAGGCTATGGGCAAAGCAGGTGGACAAAGGCTCCATAAACCCAACTACTAGCATTTCTGTTTGGATCATGGTCTCTTCTCATCACGAGAGACTAACTTTCCAAAACCCTTTCCTTACTCTGAAGATATTCACGACTCACCTTTCTTTATTGCTAGTGGGATCTTGAACTCACAGCGATGATAACTAGAGAGAGAAGTCAGATAGGTGAAAGGTTGGGCCCCATGAGAGGCCTGACCATCTGTGCATCTCAACCATGCACCCCAGGAAAAACAATGAATCCATCCCTCAAAGCCCTGGCTCTGGGGTCTGAAGACCCTGTCATCTTGGATAAGATCCCAAGCTCTCTGAACCTATTTCCCAATTTGTAAAATGGGTACAAATGGAGAGATAAAAGGTACTGGACACTGTACCAGGAACAGAACAAACACACACAGGAAATGTTCACTTCCCATAAAACTATAAGAATTCAGGGACAAATTAGTGAACATTCAAAGCCACAAGCTCTCTTTTACTGGGGATTTTCAGCGCAAAGCTCAGTTCTGGAGGGGCAGGTACAGGTATACTCACATGTTAAAATTATAATGCCCAGGGTAATTGGTGTGTAGGACAAACTTCTTCACTTTGTGTGTATTTGCGTCAAAGAGGATATCCTGGGATAGAAAACAAGGATTTCCAAGTAGGGAAAGTTACTGAGTTTGGGCAAGGTCATGTCCAACTCAGAGAGGCCATTTCATAATAGAGATGCCTCTGAACAACAGCTTTCTCCCAAACAACAGTCAAGGGGACAGCTGAGGCAAGGAGCCTTTAACTGGACATTTTCAGTAAAGGGGGGACCCAATCATCTGCAGATCTCCCATTCCAAACTTTGTAGCAGTAGGCTGAGCAGGCTTGTGAGCGAGAGCTCCCACCGTTTGGGAACTCAAACCTATCAGGGAGATCTTTCCTAACAAGCACTTGATTAAAAACTCTAACCCAACACAGATTTTGGCTTAAAGGTCACCAAGAAGATTTCAGGGAACACCTGACATTTCAGAGCCTCAATGAACCTAATTACTCTGAATGCCATGACCAGCCAGACCCTTCTGGCTTCCATTAGGCCCTCTCTATGAGAACCAGCAACCCCTGGAAGTGAAGATCCAGCCTCTGGCCAGGACTCAAGACCTGGAGTTGATGCTGCCCATTGAACACTCCCTCCTATTTACCACATCCTTCCCAGTTACACACTCTGACAACTGTTCAGACCTGTGACCCTCAAGTTCCCTCTGACTCCATGCCTACATTAGCTACATTAAGTCCTTTTCAGGCTGGGTCAATTCCTCCATCTTCCTTGTCACTTATCATCACTGGCCCTTGACCCTAAGAGGTTCAGTTTACAAAGTGCCGTTCCCTTTGCCTCTGTCCTACCTCAAGAGTTTATGATCCTGCTGCCGTTCCCCTACTACTCCTGGCTTCTCTGTCTTTTTCCACATTGGCAGACCCAGTATCTTCTCTCTCCCTCTTCAGAATCTACCTTTTCTTTGCTGCTTCAGGACCTGAGGCCTTGTTCGCTCAAAGGTTAGGAGACCCAAGGTTCAGGCCAGCCCTTCCCTAAAAGATGTATCCTGTAGGGCAGGGTTTACACAACTTCTCACACAGACATCCCATCTACTAGCAGGACTGTCAGCACTGATAGTGGCCACCAACTCCATTCAGCACCTTACATCCAGAGCACAGGGCCACAGCAATGCCTCAGGCTGATCCCCTAAGAATACATAAGCACACTCCCGTGGCCTTTGACCTTTTTTTAGTCTCCGTATTTTGTGACTCCAGAAGAGGGTCCTGTGTTCTAGAAATGGGCAGATCCCAAAATAGGTTAACCAGAAAGACTCCCACAGCCTCCACCTGTGCAGCATGCTTCCCTCAATAAAGAA